GGATGGGGACGTTGACATGACACTATTCGATGGAGTGTTGGATGGAGTGCTGAGATGAGGTTGAGATGCGGGCTCAGTATGCTGGGTGGATGGTAAACTAGGGTTTTGAATTTTGCTTGGCTGCATGCACTAGCACCATTCCGCGGATGGTCTGCTGGTGGCATTTACAAGATTTGCTAGATAAATCATGTAATGGAGCTTCTTATGGTGCTAGAATTTTAAAACATTTACTCCGTTTCCCTGTCGAGTGAGCAGTATTGACTCTACATACGAATATTGCCTGGCTGTGGATCAGCAGTTACATTTCTTGAGATTGCGGGGACTACAATGCTTAGTTCGTAGGGAGGGTATCAAAGATGTAAATATCAGGTTTATTATTACGAATCTTGGCAACGGGCTGGACTGATACATTAGCTTTCTGCCTGCCTCCGTTTGATATTGCTTGTGGAGATAGCGCTCTCCAACTCATGTCAAATACGAGGAGTAAGCTAAGGATAATTTCATAAAAGATTCGGCAACCTGACGGACCGGTTAAAGAATATAATAATGAATTATCAAATGAATTTTTAATGCGGAAGAGAACAGCGAGTGATTTTACATGATTTTGTGATTTCTTAGCGTTAAAAGCATAAAAAAGCATAAAAAAGGCTTACAGAGGCGTGTATGAGGGCTCATTTAAGAATCTTTCGATGAAAAAAACCTACATGTATGGAATACTATAATTCTAACACTACATACATGTATTATAGTCGTCACTCCTTTGCGCCTGTAAAGCCAATCGCGAATTCTCAATCAATTAAATGTAGGTAACAATCATGTAAAAGTAGATGTATGCCTGTTTTCTCTCAGTTCTAGCCGAAAATCAGAACCAAAATTGTTGGAGGGCTGCTGTCTCCCGCTTTATTTGAGTATCCGTCCACTTACCACCCACCTCCCCACCATCCACCATCCACCGTCCACCGTCCGTCCACCGTCCACCGTCCACCGTCCACCACAACCACTCTTCTCATCTCACAGATTCATCCAAAACCAGTCCGTTACCTCCCAAGGACAATCAACAAACTTAAGTCTCTCAAATAAACACAACCTATCATGTCTTGGGACGATTCTGTTCAGATTAATTCCGGTATGTAACATTCATCCTTGTGCCATCCTCTTGTTTCATCTTTTTCCCATTCACCGGTTCTTATTCTCGGACATCCCACAACATCTTGAGAGAGAGAAACTTCTCTTCTCTTCTGCTCCATCTCCAAACTTACTAATAGACATCGATTATAGGCTGGGGTGCTTCTGCCACCGAGCCACAGGGCCACACTGATTTCCCAGGAGGCGGCGATAACGCCTGCGATGAAGGGAGAGGTGGTGGCCCTGGTGATGGAGCTTGTAGACAGTATGTACCCCAATCTTTTTTAGCCACAGCAAATAATCTCACTAACAAATAAGTTGTGGGGTTGAGGGGCATTTTGCGCGTGAATGCCCGGACAAGCCAGCCAACGATGGCGCCTGCTTCAATTGTGGCCAACAAGGGTATGATTCTCGGATTTTTTCTTCCTTTTTATTTTTCTTCCTTGTGAATGATGGCATGCTAACATTTCCTGCAACTACAGTCATAGTAAGGCAGAATGCACTGAGCCGCGTGTCTTTTCAGGAGCTTGCCGTCATTGTGCTCAAGAAGGCCATATGCACAAAGATTGCCCGAATAAGCCACCAGAAGTCTGTCGTAACTGCCGAAAAGAAGGTGAGAAAACATTGAGACTCTTGATTGACCGTTACTAATCTTTGACATGATCACTAGGTCATCTTGCTAATGACTGTACGAACAACCGCTACATTGAATACAGCAGGGCTCTCGAAAAGTCTGCCGAGGAAGCATGGGATGGCATGGCTCTAGCCAGCGAGGAAGATGACTTTGATGCATTCAAAATTGTATGTTTACTATCAAAACATATATCTAGTGGTTTTTACTGACGAAGTCCAAATTTAGTGCATGCTGGAGTACATTAGGGCTTGCCCTGGTGCTAAGTTTAACGAGTTGGAATCGTCTTTCAGGTCATCGGGTTGGAACTATTATCTCTATGCTCTGGTATGTCCCCCCAAAAAAATAATCCTTCTATTATCTTAACATCCAACATGTATAGACACGTGAGCCGGAGTACCACGAGTGCATTGTTGGCCCTAATGGAGAACTTGATGCTAAATATGTTTGGACTCTCAACAAATCTCCCAAGCCCCGCCGCTCAAAGGCAATAAAGGATCGTATGGATCCGACTGCAGAAGGAAATCTCGCACGCCTTGCATTCGCTGGAGAGATCATGCCTGAAACAAAGCCTTTCTGCCATACCTGCCGAGGTAAGCGCGTTGAGTTTGGGTATATATGTCTATACTAACTTTATTCTGGTAATAGTTAAGGGGCACAGCAAGAGAGGCTGCGAGGTCGAGGTCCCTGAGAGGGATCGTGAACGTGTCGTTCTCAAATGCGGAAATTGCGACGCTCTTGACCATCGTCTACGTGATTGTACCCTACCACGCAAACCAGATTATAACCCCATGGAATGCAAGAATTGCCAGTACGAACACCCTTAAATTCCCAAAATAAAACACATGCTGAGTAAATAAAACTCTAGTGAAGAGGGTCACAAGGCATCAGATTGCCCAATGCCACGCGTTGCAGATGAGAACACTGAGTGCCGCAAGTGCAACGAAAGTGAGTCTTCGTTCTTTGTGAGAGGTTTAAGAGCAATGTTAACGGTTGGATTGCCTGGGTACAGAGGGCCACTTTTCCAGAGAATGTCCCCAGGGTGGTGGTGGTGGGCCTCAGGTCTGCTTCAACTGCGGGTATGCACCTTCTCATATCTATATATCCTTCTTGCGTGTGCTGATTTATCACAAACTTAAAGTCAGGAAGGCCATCGCTCATCTGATTGCACCAACGAAAAGGTTATCAAGTGCCGCAATTGCGACGTGTACGGCCACAGTGCTAGGGAGTGTCCTATGCCCAAGGATATTTCCCGAATCAAGTGCAACAACTGTGGTGAAAGTAAGTCCATCACTGACTCGATAAGTGCAATCCTGACGCTGACATCTGTCTTATTTTCTTTTCAGTGGGCCATTACAACCGTGACTGCAAAAATCCAACTGTCGAACAGGAAAGCGGAGGCTATGAATCATATTCTTATGGTGGCGGTAAAGAAACCTCCACTGATGCGCCAGCGTGGGGTGGTAAAGAAACCCCCACTGATGCGCCAGGGTGGAATGACACCCCTGCCACGGATGTACCCTCTGGCTGGTAAACGTTGTATGAATCCTTTCATTACAACCGTTTGAATTGAGAATCTTGGTTGAGTCTTTGAGTACATAGTTTCTTTCTAGTGCTATGTACGTTCAAAGCACTTGATCGATCTCTGTATCTTACTGAAAAAATTAAAATGATCTTGTCTTTTACCACATACATGTGTTCGGGACGAAGTCTTGTAGCAGATCAGATGTGATTTCAAGTACATTCCTCCAGGGAAAAGGTTCCCTCGTGAATCTTGAGTGCTGTCGTCCCCTCCTAGGAAATTCTTATATGTTACAGGTTGTGATATTCTGGCAACTATGACTTGATATACAAGGCAGACGACCAAGTCATAGGTTAAATACTGACTGCAGCCCACTAAGAAAGGCAACGTCAAATTTATATCGAGTGATATGCCATGACTCAATGTAAATTTTTTTTTTTGTTGTTTAAATGACTCAATGTATTATCATATGCGTACAACCTATAAAAGGAGCTCCTTGGATACTCAGAATCATCTTTTAATTGAGATGGTGAGGTAAAGGTGCTTCTTAGTTGGACGACGGCGTGGCGGGGTAGTTCTACCTACGATCCTGCCAACCGCTTTGTAGGAGGTATAGCTTGTGGTTCTCGCCGTTTGGGTGGCGATGCGAAGCTTATACGTGTGTCGTGCTCTGGAGCTTTCAATCTCCCTTCCAAGCTTCGTATCTCTCTCTCTTGCTTGGCAAGACCTTCCGTCGCCGTGACAGGTGGAACTCCTAGTCTTACTTTTCAAGCATCATATCCAGTCCCAGTAAACCAAGCGTTTCTTTATACGCTTCAAAGCCACATTTAAGTTCTATCTTGAGGGGATAATTGTCTTGGGTTGATCGGATCTCAGCTTCATCGATCCTCATAGCTCGCCCTAAATGGGGTTCTTCGTGAGCAGGGCAGGTGATATCTTTACCAATACGTCACTAGGGCCTTCCCTCTCAGATTCTCTGTACTCATACCCAGCTTCCAAACATCTCTCATACTCAAGGGGCGGGAAAAAAAAACTAAAAAAAAAACTAAAACAAACTATGTGCTGTAGAAAAGGATCGGCGACGAGGGCGCCAAGAATCGAGTGATAAAGCGTGATCAAGCCTACCTACTACTCCTCCAGCTCTTCTCCTTTCCAGTTGCTACAGGCATAGAGTCCTTATCTATGAACCTTATCAAAAGGAAAATGTTCAAAGGTATGTCCTTCTCTGGCAGGAGCAATGATCTCATAAGGCTAGAGGTGGAGGGGTGGAGATGTGCCGACTGGACCGAAAAGTCGACCGAATAGGAAGAACCGTTAGAACTTGGCACACAGGGGCAGGGGAATATTTTCCCGATGTGGATAATCACCCTGTTGAGAGGCACCCCATGACTCATCCCAGTGATGGTAGATTGTGCAGTGAATTTTTTTTCTTGTGCCGTTTGGTTGCGGGGAGGGAGCGCGTACTGGTGGTTTCATTGAGAAGGTATTAGAGAATTAGCTCTTGGTTCCAAATTCTTCCCCTGGAAATTTGAACTGGTCTATGTGCTAGGTTGATCTTCATGACAGGAATGTAAGCTCACCCTATATCATCACACCTCAATGGCATAATGAGAGCTACGAATACTATCCAGAACCTTAAGCTTTATTATAACTAAAAACAGAATACTAGACATAAAAAACATAGAATCATTATCAACAAAATTCATCTACCAATTATTAATCTCACGCCCTCACCCTCCAGTCCAGTCCCACCTTTGCAACCCTACTTACCGCTAGTAGAGTTCCACCACCCAGTAGCACCAACCCCGCAAAGAGCTGTGCCGCCCAGTAGCTGCCATCCTTCATCTGAACCAAGGCCCCTCCAATTGGCGACCCCGTCAAAGTGGCAAGACTTACAATAGTGAATACCATTCCCATTCTCGTACCAGCTTTTGAAAGGTCAGTGGTTAAACTACTCAGTGTGGCTGGGAAAAGGCTCTGAATTCCTGCTGCACAGAAGCCGTAGACGCAGCCCCAGGCAATAAGTCCACCGTATGAGTTTACGCGCATCCAGGCTATTACGAGAATTCCGACGATAAAGCATGTAGGAACAAGAAGGTTTAAGGGACCAACTCGGCCGTCCGCATAGTAGTTGGGCACGAGACGGCCAGGCATACCAACGGCGTTCATGATGATCACCATATTGAAGGCAGTTCCTTGGTCAAGGCCAATTTGAGTCCGGGCAAAGGCGGAAATATAGAAGAAGGCAAAATAGAGGCCCCAGAAGTTTAGGAACATTCCTATATCACCACCATCAATCAGAGGCTTGGCATTAGGCCTAGGGGCGCGGAAAACTTACCAGCGGCAAATAGGACGTATGTAAGTTCTTTGAATGCAGCCCATTCAACTATGGGGCCAGCTTTCCTTGGCTTTAATCTTGGTTTTAAGATGAAATTTACTGACCCCAAGGTCACCAAGGTTATCAATCCCACCGTTCTCATTGTCCATGCGAATCCAACTTGCGGTAGTAGAGTCTTCACTACCACCGGAATAACTATTCCTCCAGTAGCTGACCCCGATGCCGCAATACCTAGTGCAAAGCTCTTTTTCTTTTGAAAGTAGGTAGAGCACAGTGCCATACTAGGGCAAAAGAGCATTCCACCTCCAATACCAACGCACAGGCCGTGTGAGAGGAATATTTGCCAGTAGGTTCTCGCACAGGAAGCTGTGAACATCCCCAGACAGACCATAATTGAGCCCACAAAGTACATTGGTCGGAAATAGCCAGCATCAAGAGCTCGCCCAGTGAAGGTTCCGAGGAAGAAAAGAAGGAAGATCTGAATAGAGCCCACCCATGATATCGTCGAGGGCGTTTCATTGAATGCTTCGACGTAGTAGGCTTGAAATACACCAAAAGCCTGCAGTAGTCGCGTGAGTCATCAAATTCCAGGAATAATTAAGATTTGGCGGGAAACGATACATTTATGTAACCCCTAATCATTGTTAGTAACCCGATCTCAATTGGAATTTTAGGAGTAGATAGAATGCATACCAAGTGTTGAAGATGGTGAGGTGTACCCCAAATACCATCAACCAAGCCTGCCAACCTCCGTCTGGAGGTTTCTCAACCTCCACCGGTTCCACGTACGGCGTTGCGTCCTCATGCTTCGATTCAGTGTCTGACATAATTATGATGACCCTCTTATCGCTCTCCTGTGCAAATAATTGCTCAGGAAGAAAGGCAAGAAGCGGGCGCCCCGCCTTTTAAGCCCGTAAAGCAGGCGACAGAGAGAAGCATAGGAAATTTTCTGGTTTGTAATAATTGAGCTTTCGGAATTCGGAAAACTACCCGCGGACGTCTATCGACGCCAAATTTGACCCTTCGTGGTTAGCATTGGCAGGCTCTTAAGCTTGTATATGCCACTTTAGATAGTCCCTGGCAGGTTCGCCGGTAAAAGCTCGGCTCTGCACATTCTAATGCATCTTTAAACCCTATCAATTCTTTATGGATACTAGCACAAAAAAAGCCATCATCACGGAGAATGGAGGCGGGCGGGATTACCTCGCACATCTCCGAATTCAAGCTTTCAAAGTCCTTATCAGGCGCGCTTTTGCGATAGTATTTTTTTTTTCAGAAATTCTGTGCCATGAAGTCTGAGTCGCAGAAGAGGCCAATTCTTGAGAATAACTCAGATGCTTATAAAATTACCATGCCGACCAAGAAGACATGCTCTTCGTTAGCATCTCTGTCTATAAGACCACCAAGACTATGCCATTGCTGAATCTTTGGTAGAGAGCATGACACTCTGATCTGCACACTTGAAAAACGTCGATGATTCTAGAGGCTAAAGAAAACGCCGAGGGATACGCTTTCAGGAATAGCGTACATACTAGCATTTGTCATTAAGCGAAACCAAATTCCAACTCCAGTCCTTGCAGCAGCTTGAACTCGCATGCCAAAGTTCCTGTTCAAGGTCTGTGGGTATGTAATGTGGGGGGGTGGTCCATTCACTCGTGATTGTAGCTTGATAGGACCTGAACCAAGATTGAGACAGAGAGAGAGGTTGATTGGATTGAGACTCTGCAGGTGGATTCAGCGGCTACGGGTAGCAAGCTGCTTACCGCAGGATTTCATTGGAGCTTAGGGTTGTACAAACTGGGGAGGAGTTATCCACTGTACCTCCAAATCGGCCAAGGAAGTTTATAGAGAACAGACTTGGTAGCTGCTATATATACAGCATTCGTGTACGTACGTACGTACTCCACGCACAACATTCGGCAGTAGAGGGACACTTCAATGCCACTAGTATTCCAAATAGCAGAACGCCGGAAGGCCCAAGCTCCAACTCTCTGATAAAGCCTACATGCTACAGCAGATACAGAGTCTGCTTGTAGCCTAGATAGTCCGCGGTTCATGCCCTTGCCTCGAGGTACCTCGAGGTCAATGATAGATAATATATGGGTGGAAGATCGCGGGTATAAGCATATGACAAAAACCAGATGTTACAGTGTAGGCCTTACTGATGAAATACTCTAGAGAGTGACGACACGTTCAAGCTTGCCATATCCTTAGGTGTTCTTGTTGAATACACTATTTTTTTGCCTTGTTTAAATGCACACGTGGTGGGGTTTAGGAAGAGGATTTGTGGTCCAATTGGTTTAGTTAGCTACAACCTTTCTCCTTTTGCTTCTTCTCTCAATCACTTACAATAAACTGACTTCACTACACTTGTTCCTATCACTATATGACAACAGATCTTTCAGAACAGTCGGAAAGAGCTAGCTATCGGTAGCCATGGAGCTCGAGACATCATGCACTGCAGCTATCTCAACCCCGAATGAGCTAGTAGATATGAGAAAGCGTGCTTCTATTCCAGGATTTACATACAGTCCCCCCTCCCCCACAAAGCTATCTACTTTCATTAATATTCCCGGGAACCAGCCTCACCAGATATAAAAGAGAATCTATACAGTTCAACAATCACTTGACGCTCCCAAGATCAGTAAGTCGTCACCGTAATGTGCCTTTGTGCGCTATATTTGGTGCCTCAATTGAGCTTATACTTCGTTCTAGTTTAGCACTAAGGCTCTTTCCCCATCATCTTCTCCCATATGAGTCTCTAGTGATGCCGACAGAGACCAATCCGCAGTCCCAGAACTGTAGTTAATCAATAACCATGATGAATTGAGATATCAGGCCGTAATCTATAGCCTACTCCAAGTCACGGATTCATTCGTACTATACTACTTATACGGTCTTTAGATTACTTAGATTCAATTGCGCCAGACCTTGATTTGACGGGAGTTCAGAAGGCTTGAACAGTATATATATATATATCATGTCCAGTTTACACCACAAATAAACGAAGACGCATTAATGCAAAAGTCCGGACTCTTGCAGCATATCCAGCTGGAGGCTGATTGCTGATGAAGAATTAAAAGACGCTCGCGCCGAGCTTCTGGCCAGACTGCTGGAGAAGACTCGCTGAATTTCGACTCAAAAACGGAGTGTTTTTATCTCCAAGCGAAGTGCAACTGCTACTCGTTTCTTGAAAAGGTGTCAAACAGGAAATACTGGGGTCTAGCGTCATCCAACCTTTCATGACCTACTTAGCTGTAAGGTTTGATTCAAGCTAGCACTCCTATAGGAGCATGTCGTGCACATGGCCTTCATAAAAACTTTCCCCAAAAAAGAGTTTACAACCACACAAGCCAAAAATAGCAAAGATTTTCTTTTGAAAATTAAAGAGGGAAGATGATCTGATGTGACATGACCCAGGAAAAGCACGTAGATGAAACCCAATTGCACTCCACACCTAACCAGTTGCAGGTTATCTGTAAATTATAGACCACGGGTTAAATCTTTACCCGCAAACTAGCTGGCCGTGGGCGTGTCCCCGGCCCGCAAATGATAGAGAAGATTTCAACGACCTGCAAGTGCTCACGTGCACGTACCGGCGCCGCGCACTGCGGTTTAACTAAACCACACCCACGCTCATGTGCACATACCCCCTATATATACATCGACTAGTCCATCCCTCAATAGCTCACGTCCCTACCCTGTCTTGAACTTCTTTAGCACATTGCCTATATCTAGCCACCGCCTCAGTCCGCATCACGATAAATCACTCGCACCAAACCACACCAACCGCAGACGGTAACGAAACTCAGCAGCGGTACCAATTCTTTCGATTTCTTCCTAACCTGTAGCTAGGCACAATCTCTACACATCTAAGAGCTTGATATAGAGTAGGGAGCTAACAGTTCCCCCCCCCCCCCCATAGCTACACTAATTTGGAACTTTTCTATGTATAGCGGCCTTCTAACTCTGCAAGAAATAGTCACGACACTCTATATCTTTTCTCACCACCGCAATACTTGGCAGACATGGCAAACATCACACCCAACCAATAACATATATTCACCCAAACCACCCACCACCCACCACCCACCTTCCCAAATACACCACTACCACTACATGTACCTATAACAGCCACCCACTCACTACCCAAACCAACCCAAGAACGCAAACCCAATTGCCAATGTCCAATCAGAAGAACCATCCCTTTTCCGAGCCGGGCCTCCCAGAAAAAAACCAAAGAAATAAAGAAAACAGAACAGGAACAAAAAGAGGAGCTCCGCAATGCAGTAAGTAGGGAGGAGGCTGGTTGGCTAATGGATTACTACTATGCCCAACTACTCATGCCCAACCAAACTACATGTCTACAGTTACCTAACTAGCTATGGCAGCGCCCCGAAAGAAGGGGAAAAGAAAAGGATAGTGGGCCATATTGGTAGGTAGCTTAGAAGATACCATTGACAATCTTGCCACCGATTGTAGCACCGGCACCCTAGAAATCACACCACACATTAGCGCTCAATCCCTCGCAGCAAAAATCGAGGAGCACCCACAAAGATGGCCGCATTCCCAAGCTTCTTGCCAAACTTCTCCCCATTCTTGCCCAGGATGGGCTTCTTCTCCTCCTGCTGCTGCTGCTCAAACACACTTGTGCTCTGGCTGGGCCCGTGCGCCACATCCGTCATCATGTTCCCGCCGGGGCCATACCCGCCGTATCCCCTCGGCGGCAGGCTAGGCAGCGCGGGCTTCTTCACGTCGCCAGAAGGGGCAGTGGCCAGCACCTGTGTCTCGCGCACGTAGGCGCTGGGGAAGAGACCGGCGGTGCCGTCGCCGCCGACGACACGGCCCTTCCACCAGTCGTCCTTGACCTTCTCGAGCACCTCGAGCTTGGCGCCCGCCTCGAAACTCAGGTCGCCGGCCTCGGTGCCGTTGAATGCCCACTGGGCCTCGGCGAGGGAGAGCACGAGCGGTGTCGGGGTGTAGGAGGGGGGTGCGGAGGGGGCGATGGGGAGGTGCTGCTGCTGCTGCTGGGGTTGCGGCGGCGGGGAGAAGGTTGGGTAGGAGACGGCGGGGGTGGTGGATTTGGGGGCGGGCCCTGCGGCGGGGGTGGGCGGGCAGCGGGTGGTGGATTCGGCGGGGAGGATGGAGAGGATCTGGGAGAGGGCGCTGGGGGAGATGATGGCGGTGTCGGCGAGGAATTCGAGCTCCTGGAGGTGGGGAGATGGGTCAGCTTACTGATTCACTGGGGAGAGAAGTGGCAGAGAACGCACAGCTCGGATTGTCCTGATGGAGCGGTTTGCGAGTGCTGTTGCTGTGGCGGCAGACATTGCGTGTGCGTGTGGTGTGTGTGTCTAGAGGAGCTCTCCGAAACGAACGATTGGAATGGGGGTGGGTGGGTGGGTGACTATGTAGACAGGTGTGCAGGTAGATGGACGAGAGGAAGAGAGGAAGAAGGAAGAAGGAAGAGAGGGAGAAGGGAGAAGGGAGAAGGGAGAAGTGAGAAGGGAAGAAACGAAGAAGAAGAAGGGCGGGGATAGTGTGCAGCCGACAAGAGTTTTATCCTCAGCAGTTCCCAGTCAGCGAGGAAACAGCTGTCCCCAGGTGGTACACCCCAGGTAAGCACTCGCTCACTAAAAAAGGAGAGTCTCTCTCCTTCCATGTACCGCAGCTGTGTCTACTACACCGATCACTCATCCAGCCAGCCCCATCCATCCATCCCAGCCAGCCAACCCCAACCCCAGGGCTGTGCCCCAGACGAGACGGAGACGGCACAGCAGGGATATGCAGAGACACACAACGCTGTCTGTCTGGGAGTGCACACGTTCCCACCGCTACACCCACTCCCCGCACACTCCATCACACACACCCCCCCCCCCCCACAAACAAACCCTAGCCCCACCGCCGATCGGGGCCGGGTCGGTAATGATCGGTATCCAAACATTATGACGTAGAAAGTATCTACCGCCGATATCAAAGAAAGCACACAGCCAGACTCTTTCTCTCCACACCACTCACTACACAGAGAGAGAACCAATTGAACAATGCTATCACGAACGCTCCTCCGCGCCCGCCTCTCCCGCCCGCATCCTCACCCTCCGCTCCTCCTCCTCCTCCGCGCCTACACCTCCCGCCACGACCCCGGCAGCACCGCCCAGCCCGGCAGCACCCCACAACACCCCTACTCCCAGCCCACCGACACCGGCTACACCCCGCCCGAGCACCACCACTCCAAGCCCCCCGCCCCCTCGTTCGACGCCGCACCCACATCCAGCATCCCCCACGTCGGCACCGCCGCCAATGCGCCGCCAGAGCTGGTCAACGGCGCTGAGCCCGCCACCCCCATCCTGTCCAGCGAGCGCGGGCCGGGCCTCGGCGGCATCTTTGGCAGCGCGGGGGAGAAGGAGCTCGGCGTGGGGGAGATGGCGGAGGCAAAGTTCCGCATTGAGCCGTTGAGGCGCACGGGGGAGGATCCGGCGACGATGAGGGCGAGGCTGCTTTGTCTGTTCTCCCTTCCATTCTCTTCCCTTCCCTTTCCCTTCCTCTTCCCCTCCACTCCCCATCCAATGCCAATTGCACAACCACTAACACACCACCACCACCAGACCAATCCCGCAAGCGCGGCATCCTCGAAACCGACCTCCTCCTCTCCACCTTCGCCGACACCCACCTCCCCACCATGACACCCGCCCAACTCCACCAATACGACCGCTTCCTCGACGAGAACGACTGGGACATCTACTACTGGACCACCCAGTCCCCGCCCACAACCTCCACCGAATACGCCGAAGGCGGCTCCTCGACGCTCGCCACCCCCACCGCCGCCGGCCGTCCCCCCTCTGCCGCCGCCGAGGCCGCCGCTGAAAATACTAGTGTGTCCCGCGCGACCTCGGCGCGCGGGAAGAGCGCCGACGTGGCTGCTGCTGCTGCCGCGGGCCAGATTGCTGTCGGGGCAGAGAGCCAAGCGGCGAGTGGGCAGGCGGCGCCGCAGTCAGAGAGCCAGATGCAGGGCGCGGGGTCGGGGACGGGTGCGCCGCTGGGGTTCGGGGAGGGCCCCGTGGGCGAGTGGGCGCAAACGGTGGGGCGGGTGAAGGAGCCGTATCGGCCGCCGCCGAGCAGGTGGCGGGATAGTGAGATATTGGGGATGCTGAGGAGCCATGTTGAGGCGAGGAAGGGGGGCGTGATGGGTGGGAGGCCGAAGGGGTTGGGGATGATGCCGGATGTGAGGCAGTTTTAGAGTGCTGTGGTGGGGGGGGGGGGGTGTATATAGAAAAAATGTGGTTTTTTTTTTTTGTTGCTTTTTGCTTTTGGGTTTTAATGGGTTGTGGTGGATTGAGTGATGATTTGTGAACCACTGTTCTTGCTGTCGCTGTGTTATTCTCCCTTGTAGTATTATTGTCATGCCTCATAGAGTGCAATCATATGCCATCACTCGAGCCTTGGCGTGGTTCTCAAAAGGCCGGATTTCAGACTTTGACATCAATTAATTGCATCAACAGAAGGGGCTTCGCTGGTGTTTAGTTTCTTTTCTATTCCAAGGAGCTACTGGTTGTTTGTGGGCCTGGGCACTTCGAGAGTGCAGGACATATACCCCCACAAAGTTTTGTCGGGGGGCTCTAAGCTACAGGCACATTTTCTGGTCCCCGAACGCTACACCCTGCACCCTCTTTTCAAATGGGAGCTTATGGCCTCTCCTGGCCCCCCTCCCCCCCCCCCCCCCCCCCCCTCTTCCTTTACTCTTCCTCTCTGCGTCTTTTTTTTCTTTCTTCTCCTTTCTTTTTCTTGGGGGTGATGGGTGATAAACAGCTTGTCTTGGGCGGCTTTCTGTGGATATCCCATAGACCGTAACTGGCTTTGCACGGGATTCCGTGCAAACTTGGTATGCTTTGATTAGTTCTACCTTAAGTAGAGCCGCAGTTAAATTGAGGACAGTTGTATGCTCATATCTTGAAGTCTCAAGGAAGATGGAAATAATTTTCTAATTTGGATATGACTTCTTGATCTGTAGTTCTGACTGAATAAATTGAAAACCTCATAGGTTTACACTTGAAACTGCAAAAAGTGGGAATGTAGATACTTATCCACTTTATCTATATGGATTATGGTACATATGTTATTACTAGATAGCGCTTGATAACTGATCCCCATCTTGTTTGGATTTATTTCGATTTTATTGGTCCCAGTATAAAATAAAAGACATCGAAAATTGGGATCCGTTGCCATGTTCTGAAATATTTATCTCCGTGTAAACCTTGTCACCCTGTATATCTTACGTCCACCTCTATGCACCTACCATGGTACAAGTCAATGAATAAATACAACAAAAATGCAAACTCAAGTGCAATAGAGCCACTATTATCTGACAATCATCTTCTTCTGCAGTTACAGCAGTTGGGTTAATTTATGTGACAAATTTGCACCGGATTTCGTGCAGAATCGCTCAGTTACGATCCGTGGGATAGATTAACACAAAAATATTTCAATTGAACTTCGGTCCCACGCGCGCAACATTTCACCAAACAAGTCCCTTAAGTATCATAACGATATAATGATAGTTTTAGTGAATCTTTAACGCCAGCTCTCATTAAGGAATGCCTTTTACAACATCTGTTTGTTCCCAGCGTGGGTTTACCCGTACACCAGTCCAATCAACCCGTTTCACTTGAAAGCCACCCGAGGCCTTTCGACGTTCGAAAAAGTCCTTAGAAAATACCTTACGCATCCTTTTGTCATAGCCCACCTTCATTAGCAAAGCTCCCGACGATTGATTTCTTTCCCACTTGGGTATGCGGTTTTGAGGTTCTTCCACGCGGAGGCGCAGAAGGGCCTAGCTGGACTAGTTTCTGTATTCATGTCAGTTTAATACGCTCCCAGCTTTAAAGGCGTTTCTGGCACTATACTTGATCAATTCTTAGCTGAACATCGTGGCTGCATCGATTCCACTTCGTGAAGCTCTTTTGGACCATTGAAACAATTTTATCCCTGGGCGGGAACCTGTTAACAACGTGCATTAGCAATCATACGTCTCGTCAAAGATAAACGGTAACCAAGACATACATCCTCTCAAGCAGAACCTGTCTAAGCCCGAGGACAATCTCCCATCCCGCCACCGATTTTCTGATGCCTAGGCCTTGGAGATGGTTATGGCTAGTCTCCCAATCCCCTCCAAATTTCTCTGACCACAGGTACGACAAATATTCAAGGTCACAGTAGTCGGAATCTTTGTTTTTCTTATCCCAATAACTCAAGGCAGCGCTCACAATCTCGGGGCTTGAAAGATTAGGGGCAGGAATATTGTCCTCTTCTGGCCTGGTAGCCATGCCAGGGAGAGTCAAAGCGCCATCGAGATTTCCCGTCATCCAGCAATAGCGATTGATATATTGACCATCAGAGCTACCGTCAAAATCTTCAAGTTCTTTCTGCTGGATGTCTCTCTCGGCTGGGTTGAAGATTTGCGATTGGGGCGAGGGCGCTCCAGGCGAGTCGTCAAATGAACATTTTTGATGCTTCTAGTTTATGGGTTAATAAATGCAGGCTAATTTGTGGGGGGAACCTGTAAGTCTTACCAAAAGATGCAGCTCCCATACTTGTTCAGTCAGGCCATTCCATACTTCGTATGCTGTACTAATCAGCCAAAGGTCACCTTGATGAGGCGGGTATCTATATAGGATAAAGTCAACAAGAGATTCAGCTTTGTCATATTAGGGAGGGCAGACATACACCCCTTTCTTCCACAACGCTTCTAAGGATTCTACTACTTGAACTACGGCCTCTACCTTCCGCTCTCTAAGGGTAGTCTCCAGGTTTTCCAAGTCGCTCTTGGAGAGACCACTCCAATGGGGTTCTTGAAACGCATCACAAAATAACAGATCAAGATCTATATAATTCCCCGCCCCTGTATGGATCCAGTAGGCCAAAGTATGCCGGACACTGTATTCTGTATTGAAAGTGAAAGATGTATTGACTTTCGCTTGTTCGGGTTTCTCAAAGCATGCTGGGGTATAGCTGTAAGTGGTGAGGGTGATGCCCACTGGCGTCGAATGACAGACCATGGTTTGAGGCTTTACTGAAGGTGAGGATATATTGAAACGAAGGTATTCCCGTGGGGATTTCAATAGGACGCTGAATGACATGGAATCACTGAGAAGTATATGAGGGATGGTGAACAGAATATATCTATGTTATAAACTTATTTTCTGTCATTCTTATATGTGGCATCACAGCCCCCCATGCTCCCGCAAAAATTGAAGCCACTCTACAAAAAACAAACTTGGTTATCCTCCATATGTTTCTAGCCCTTCATCTCAACTCTCTGTAGGCCTAGCTAGTTTGACTAACAAGTTTGTATCTCTGATCATAGAATTAGCCTCTTTCCTATAGTTACACCAGTACCTCTCTGAGCCCACTTACCGCAGCTCTCAAAGCATGCCTCAATCTTCTTCCCATTCTCAAGACAGTCAGGGAGACAGAAGTTGTAGGCCAGATCGTCTTTGCAACGTGGAGGTGGGATATACGATTTCTCGTTCAGTGCTTGGGCAGCCATAGTGAGGATAAGGCTTGTGAGGACGATGAGTAGTTTCATTATGTGCTTGTTGGGTGCTGGGGAATCTTGTTGATGCAGATGCCAGGCTTTATCTACATTTTTGTAAATGGCTGGTATCGAGACAGGAGTTGCATTCCTCAATCTTTAGAATAATCATCCCTTCCTATACTTGTTAACTTCCTAGTGCATATGCATGCGCCGTATATTCCTATCTTCTGTCCCAGTCGACCACGCAGAATCGACGGATTTCTTGACCTTTGAGTTATTAAATAACACCGGCCCTGCTTAAAATCTTCTATATCCACTGTTGATGCCGGAGTAACCTTCTAGCTCACTCCATCAAGTACATAGCCGTAGCTTCTGGCCCTCCGTACAACAAACAGCAAAGCCAAACTAGGGGTACTTACACTATATCAATGCAAGGGGTGCACCCACATGAGGGTTATTTGAGGGACGTCTTACTCCGCCCCGGAGAATAGTGCCTTGCCTCGTGACATACGGTTATGTACTGCCGAGAGAGGTCACCGAGACTTTCGACGTCACACTGCTCGTACACGTAGGGCACGTGATCGACCCTGTACTCCCGTGTTCATAGTTGCAGTAAGGAGAGAAGCAGCTGCAGTAGGCCAGCGGCAATAACCTGCGGGTCAATGGTTCCCATGATACACAGCACATGTATCCAAATAGTTGTATAGGCCATCCCAGGGCTGGGACAGGTGATAAAACTTCCTCTGGGCCCAACACATGTTAGACCGGTTAGAGATTTGTCCTTTTTCATGATTGTATCCTTCCCAGTCTGATACACCCCAAAACGATGCTTAGGTGTATGCGGGAGTGTTACCAATCGGTCTCTCGCCCATCCTGCGGGAGGTCTGTACGCAATCGATATATCCTTATATAAATGCCACAAGAGACTTTAGACAGAGGCAATGACCTATACCTAGCCCAGCACATATGAGACATGTCAGCTTCAACACAGAGTAAGTATATACAGTTGATAAAGCGAACATATGTATGTCGACACCGCTAGAGTTACTCGACCAACTTACTAAAATTATAGAGCCAACTATAGCATAGAGGAGATATTCCGTGACGTTTCAAACGGATGGGACAGAGGGTTAGGACATCGTCGTAACTAGAGCTTGGTAGGTTTTTGAAATTTATGGGGTGAAAGTTAGGTAGATGTAGTGAAGGAAGTCCGCGTAGGCTGGTAGCTTGGTGAGATCCTTGCCCGTAGACGACATCTTCCGACCTCTAAAGATCCTGTCACTAGCCACTAAAGTCTAATAGATTCATCAAGCTCTTCTTTATAACCTGGCCTAAGTGAGTATGATTGCCGTACTTGGGTGGTTCTGCTTGTGTCATACTGTACGTAGTTTGATTTTGAGGTTTGATATAACAGGTGATTGAAACTTTGAGTGATATGAAGCTTTGAACAAGATTGAGCTGACTTGTACTTGTATCGGGCTAAATTTCAAATTTTTCTGTGTGTTAAAACTGTTGAGAAACCATTCTACGGATGGTGTAAATTTTGTAGTTGATATATCTTCATGAATTATCACTCGTTCATCATCAAACCTGAGGTGGCTATACTTACCGTTTTCTTGTCCGTCACCAACCACAACCAACAACGAAGAGCCAAAGAGAGCAAAAGAGGGCTACGTAGTCCATTAAAAGATTTAATTGACGTCTCCCGTTGGTTCTTCTCGGTGATCCTTCCTACACCCTTTTCAATCCTTCTTCGTCCCTATCATCCCCACATTGTCGGCATTTCACAACCCCGTTGATATCCTCTTCAAGAATGTCTCCTCCGAAAGGCAGCTCTAAACCTCCTACCATCGGCCCCCTTAAGTCCCTATCTCGGGAACGTCCCTGTATCCGCTGCCAAACGATTTTGCATCAACAGAAGATGCCCAGCCACGACACCACCGACCCCGCAGAGATGGTTCCCATCAATCGTGCTCTCTATGTAACTCGTTACACGTTCGAGCAGATCTTCGACTTTGGCAGGCTCCGCTACCATTGTCTCCTTGACTATAACAGGAGCTACAACTACTGTGCCGAGAACGTCTGTCTCCGCGCCTTTTGGGATGCTCTTGGAGCAAAAGACGAACCACGCCAGCGTCTCTCCGCAAATTCCTGCGTAAATCTCTTCCTGCCTACAATCCGCAAGGATTATGCGGCGAGGATGCTCATGGGGCCATGCTCGGATGAGTACGATGACTTGTACACCGGAGAACGCGGGCCCCCGATCAAGCTCCAGGTTGCCACGACTCCGAGACAGCTAATCGGGCTGGAAGTCACTATCCATAATTCCCCAAGAGTCTATCCGGCCGTCGGTGCCAGTAATGCGATTAAGAACACTCACCCCAGGGTTCTCACATTTGAGCGTGAGGAAGTTGAGCTTCAGAAAGAGCTGGAGAGGGGGCTGTTTACCGCTGTAGTTGCAGGTAGACGCTGTTGGGTCAAGACAGCACGCTTTTACCTCAATGCGGATTCGTTTCGGCGTGAGGTAGATGCAATTGTGAGGGCCCCAAGGCAGCACACAATCCAGCAACTCGTAGGGTTCGTGGTTGTCGACCGAATTGGCGCGAATCAGGAGGGCGGAGAGATGATTGACGGAATTGTCATAAGGTCCCGCAAAGGCAAGGTCAGGCAGTTGAAAGGAATTCCCTCCTGCACCGGGGATGAAGGGTGGAAATGGAAGAGCCAGATTGGTGGAGCGGTCGAATTGTTGCATAGGGCGAATATCATCTGGGGAAGGGCAATCCCAGATAATGTTATGATTGACAACGATGGAAATGCGCTCCTTATCGACTTCGCAGGTTGTCTCGATGGAGACACAAGGAAAGAAGATATGGATGGATTGTACGCGATCTTCGGCTTCATCGATAGCATCACCAACAAACCAATTGACAACGACACGCACGGTTACTCGAGCGAGGACGAGTCCGACTTTCAGTGGAGTGACGATGAGAACGAGTTCCAAGGGAGGAGTGACGTCGAGAACGAGTACGGTGATGGCAAAAGGTTTTGGGGGAGGGGTGGTAACGAAAACGAGCTCGGGATTCAGGGCGACATTGATGTTGAAGGCGAGGACGACATCTATGCCGCCTATTGGTAGGAAATACACTGGTTGAAATTGGTGCTTGAGCGGGGATGGAAAGTTTTCTAGAATACTGTCTTGATTTGTTGTCACAGTTTCGGGTACTTGCAATTAGTTAGAATCTCCCTGTACCACGATTTTCTACTGTACCTAGTTCTCTGGGGACGTATATACCCGCACACGTTAAAATAATATAATGCTACTTCTTGCAAATAAATAAAAGAAAAAACGGAAAAGTTCTAAAATGACACACTTTCTGGTACGCTTGATGTAGAGCAACACATAATGCAAAATGACACAGCTCAAATCTTCGGGCTCTTTTAGAAGAACCCGTTGATGAAATATTATTATTGTTCTGCCGGCAAAACAAATAAAAGACGGCAAGATTCCGGAAGTCATTACTTGTAACTAAGATATTCATCATATGATGCAGGTTGGACTTTATCTCGTGAAAGAAGATAAATTCTTCTAAAAGAGCCCGATGTTTTGAACTATGTCAATTTGGATCGTAGAAGTGTGTCATTCCGCATGTGTTGCTCTGCATCAAGTATACCAGAAAGTGTCATTTTAGGTCTTTTCCGAAGAAAAAAAGGGGGTTTCCGTGCCATATACACATCTTCTAAGGCATTATCAGGTCTATGTGCTTCAATTTATTATTCGCGAGTCATTATCTAGATTACTAGAGCAAATTGGATAAACCCGCGGTTTCGAAAGGAAAAGGAAAGGTGAATCCCCCAATCGAAATCCTACAAAATTATCATTACCCTCGACCACCAATCATAGCAACATGTGCTTACCCCACCACCCAAAAGCCCCCCCACTCCGACCACTTTAAGATAACCCCGGCCAAAGGCCCGATACTTAACAAGCCGCGCAGACGAGGCAAGCTACACGCTCGCGCTATCCTATAATCACCACTGCACCTGTGCGGCGAAGCGAAAGTCCTCCTTGTCAGGGTACGTTCAAGATAGTAGGTTACATCGTACGCGGTACTTCCTGTAGTCGAGTAGGGAGTAACCATGTAGGTATTCAAGTAGAGTACTCTATCTGTAAGGTGCATGTGTTTAGAGTGGTATGCTGGACTGAACATCCCTTCGCGTTTCAGATATTCACTCTACCACCTCCTTTTAGATGGGATGACTTGAGGATCGGGCATATTGATCATATCGGGGTAGGCTTAGAACAATCTTATTAGCCTCCCGCTGGCTGGGGAAGGAACTATTTCTAGAAGCCTATAAGCCAGGGTCTCCTGGGAGCAAAGAGGGCTGACGATAAAGTACGTAGAAGAGATAGGGTAGGACGCGACGTTCCGGATTCCACCAAGGCGGTAGAGTAACACATCTCGGAGGTTTCTTTGGGATTTGTAACGTTTATCAAAACGGATCGACTAGAGCATATTCCAGCCAGGCCCTAACTATATCTGTGCACTCTTCCTCGCCGACACGGATCGCGCGAGAATCATCAAAGCCACGCAGCACCGGAGCCCGGAAACTCTTTATCCGAGACCTGTGAGTTGGTATTCGGTACGGTAGCTACGCATGCCTTCGGTAGCAGATATTATATGAGATAATTCAATGTCGAGTACGTACTGTGCTGTTGGTTTCCGTGCTAGAGTAGGCTTGTAGAGTGGGTCTAACTGCCCAGCTATGTTACTCTACTTGTAAGGACGTGTAAGCACACTTGGTGCCTACACTAGCTCACTGCAGCTGGTAGGGTAAATTAACTGACCAACCAGTCAGTCTACGTGACATTCCCATGAGGATAAGGTGTAAAGTCGAGTGAGACAGTGTGATTGTATTCGTCAAAGGATACTTGTGTACCAAGCCAATAATCAATACAAGCTCGATCAATCAACCAAGAGGGTTTCGTAACACCACCCGGTCATTCGGACGCCGGAAGGCCAAGTTCGGAAAAAAACCCTACCAGCCACTCAAGACTCAAGGATTTGTAGAGAGGGTGGGCGAGGCACGTTTTTTTAATTAAACCTCTTGGTATATATCATATCTGTGACACTACTCTACTCGATCAACACAAGCCTTCCGATAATCATTCCAGAATACCGGATCTTAGAGTGCCAGTTGCTTCAGCTTGCTGCTGCAGCTTCATACATAATCTTCCACGAATCTAGGCTCTGCACGTCCCACACGGAAGAACTAAGAAGCGTAATCACCTGACAGCCCGTAATAAAATAGAGTACCTAAAAGAAAACACCGAGAAAGTCAAGTCTGCGTGGAAGATACAAATTAAGGAGGAACCCTTACCCTTACTACAAGGCTAGAGACTTGGAAGCTGGAACCGATCCCACCCGCAACTTGCAAGCGGCCCAAACTCAAAGAAAACTCGCGCTTGTACTCCTAGGGCAGATGTTGAGCACAAGTGATACACTGATACTCTTTGATGTAACCCGTTGCACCTGTAGGTAATAGAATCACCCCCCACTAAAGCCACTAAAGAGAGACGGTTGTGGTTCGCCTCTGAGACTGGCTATCCATTGGTGATATGACAGCTCCGCCCAGTCCCCTAAACAATTTTAAACTTGGGGCACAGCGGGAAATAACGTTTATCCTCCCGGTTTTCGCTCTGGTATTTGTAGTCTCGCAGTAGTACTAATGTAGCGGACAGCGTTCGATCCCTATGTACTCTAGATAGGATAGGAAGATGGGCACTATTTTTATCCGGTCGGTCGTACCTCATGTACTCCAGGGCCGCCCAGGCCCAGGCTAAGCCTTGAGGATTGGAATTTGCCCTAGAGAAATCGGTTGGGGTTTCTGATTAGGAATCGGTTGGGACTTGGGGTGATGGAGGGGATGGAGCGTGTCGCGTCCCAATGCGATGTTACGCGTCACCTAGGGGCTAAACCAGACTAGAATCTGGCAGGGTTAGGGGAATTAAGCACCGTTTTAACTCTCTGTGGATGTGTGCCATTACTTACTATTTGCTGATTAAGATTACATATGTAGTCCATTGGATTGTTTTCAACCTGCGAGGCTGAACACATATAATAACCTTTACTACATGTAGGTGCATCTAGTAATGCTAGTTACATATTATAGGTCGTACCTACACACCTTGGTATAATTCAGTGGTACCAATTACTCCCGTTTTCATGTCTTCTTGAATTTTCGGGGAGTGATCCGAGCTGTACGTACTTTATTGGCACGGGATAGCTGCCGAGGATCGATTGTGCTGATCATTTCTTATAGCTTTCGGAAAAGTGTTTGATTGACAGAGCTATGCGAATAAACAAAACTCGAGGGAACAGAGAACCACATGAATTTAGTTCATGTATAATCCATAGTTTTTGGGAACATACATATGTGGAAGCTTCCATGATAATTTCTATTCTTGACCGGCGAGCAGATGCAACCCAAATACTGCGGCCGGCCAGATAAGGTACCAATTCATACAGATAAGGTTCTTTAGATAACCGAGATCTTTTTTTCGGCGGTGCCAATCCAAGATCGGCAGGGCCCACTTGTCGTACAGCGCCAGTCCCAGAGGGGAAAGTGAGGCGAAGCAGCCTTGCTCGGAACTCTTGGAAGTGTCTACCATTTGGCTGAGCTGAGTTACAGCCAGGCTGCATTCGGTGATATCACTACAGCTAGGCTTCCCGTGTGTGTGTGGAGTAGAGTGTGTGTGCCCAGTTGTGTGCCTGCCAACCTGCCTGCTTGCCCGCCTCCAGTGCTCAACCTGCAGCTGGTGAAAAGGGGGATGTGGGAGGGTTTATTTTTTCTTTGGCCCATGTGCAGCAGTAAAAAAGTAGGATTTGGGAGGGGTGAAGACGCGGAGAGTGGGTAGGAGGGCCGGGAGATGAGGCTCAATCAAACTGAACCAGAGGTTTTTAGTGTATGTGGAGAAAGGAGACACCTGGGGAAGGGATTGGATATGTGCGGGATGGCTGTCTGAAGGAAATGGAGTAAAACGTGGGGATTTGCAAGTTGCGGTTTGGTTTGAACGGTTTTTGTTTCCACAAAACCAGTAGAAACAGAATGATATCTATAACGTACAAATTTATCGTTCCTAACCACACAATTAGCTTTGTTAAACTTAATTCACTTTCTGGAGCAGGTCTCACCGTCACATTTCTTCCCCACAGGTGAAGCAAGCAGCAGCAACTGTTAGCAGCAGGTGATGGGGTACATTATGTACTCTAGAGTAGTATCTAGAGTAGAGTAGAGTAGAGAACTAGAGTACATGTAGCTACATGTACATAACAGCCAGACAGAAGCAGACGGGAGAGACACGTCACCCCAGCCACAGTTCACCCCCCCCCCCCCCAAACCGAACTCTTCCTTCCCCTTCCATTACTGTGGGTAAGAGGGCAAGAGAGAGAGGGTGTGTGTGCGTGTTTGTGTGTGTCTGGTCTTGGTCTCCTTGGTACTACTCTGTCTTATGTCTGTGCTTATGATTGAAGTACATAGATAGTCGTTGGGCCCTCCCTCCAGATTCCTCCATTTCCCTTACCTTACACATCCCATCCCATTCGAATCTCATCCAATTGAGAGAGAGACGGTCCCTTCATTACTGTCATTGCCCATAATCACCTACAATGGTGCTGAATCCTCGCTCGCTCGCTCGCTCGACAGAGTCCACCCTGCGTGGTTCTCTCACCTCTCAGTCTTTTGTTGACCCCGAAACTTCTGCTCCTATCTCTACATCTACATCCCACAAGAAGTCTGCCACAAAACATACCTCTGCTTTCAGTGAGAAGAAAGCAGTTAACCGCCGAAAAGTGCGTGACGGTTCTCCCGAGAATCATGTCAATCCTTCATGGGGCCGGTTTAATGGCGACTCTTGGTTGAGCGTCTTGGGCTGCGGCGCCATCATGGTATTCTGCCCCATATTGGCAATTCTATTCTCCGTTGCCCTTACCCATTTCAACGGAAGCATCACAAACACATTGTGGGCATATGCTACAAACAACCCCCTAGAGCTTATTGCGCTCTATGCGCCTCGACCAACGATAAAGGCAACATTGGGATACGCTGCTTGGCTCATTTTCCAGGCCATTCTCTACCGATGGCTTCCGAGCAATATCGGTTATGGTCAGCGCACTCCGGCTGGGCATCTTCTTCCTTACAAGGTCAATGGTTTGCAGGCATGGGCTCTTACCCATGTTCTTGCCGTGGTTGCAGTTTACTACGGTTATCTTGACCCGGCATACATTGCAAAGAACTGGGATGGTTTGATGGTGGTTTTCAATGTTTACGGGTTCTTCTTGGCTGGGATTTCATACGTGAAGGCCCATTTGGCTCCCACACACCCCGACGACCGGAAGTTCAGTGGTAGGTGGCAATTCGGTCCTAAATGCGGCTGTGGCGTGAATTATTCAATCTGACTTTGGATTTACAGGATCGAGGATCTATGATTTCTATATGGGAATTGAGCTTAACCCAAGATTTGGGCAATGGTGGGACTTCAAGCTTTTCCACAACGGACGACCTGGAATTGTTGCCTGGACTTTGATGTAAGATTCCTATTTTCCGTGGGGTTTATTACCGAGAGGATCACTGACATTTTGTAGTGACTTGTCCTACGCTGCTTGGCAATACGAGAGAATCGGTTACATCACAAACTCGATGATTATCGTAAACATCTTGCATGCTTTTTATGTCGTAGACTTCTTTATCAACGAAGACTGGTTAGTGCTTTCTGTTAGGCTGTTCGTTACTAGCGCTAATATTTACCTACTATAGGTATCTCCGCACCATCGATATCTGCCACGACCACTATGGCTTCTATCTTGCCTGGGGATCAATGGTTTGGTTGCCAACTGTTTACACCCTGCAAGCACAATACCTTGCTCGCTACCCCGTTGATCTACCCACGCCTGTCGCAGTGGCTCTCCTTACGATTGGTGTGTCTGGGTACATCATCTTCCGCTCTGTCAACCACCAAAAGGATATCGTCAGACGTACCGGAGGAGAATGTTTGATTTGGGGAAAGAAGGCAGAAGTGATCAAGGCGACCTACAAGACCGAGGACGGAATGGATCACGAATCCTTGCTTCTTTGCTCTGGTTGGTTTTATTTCTCCTTTTTTTTTATCTACACAAATAAATAATTAACTAACTAATCACAACTAGGCTGGTGGGGTTTCGTCCGTCACGCAAACTACCTCGGAGATCTCATTCTCTCATACAGCGTCTGCGCCGTCTGCGGAGTCGACAACCTTCTGCCCTGGACATATGCGATCTTTATGACCATTCTCCTGATTCAAAGATGCGGGAGAGATGACGCGAGGTGCACAGGGAAATATGGCCCCGACTGGAAAAAGTACTGCAGCATTGTCAAATACAGAATTATTCCTGGCATCTACTAGAAGCAGAGATACATGGTAAACAAAAATAGAATTATTGGACGGAGTGTGGAGCAAACTGGAGATACATGCTTTTTTTATTATCTTGTTCCGACTAGATTCAGATGAGGATATGATTGGTGGGATAACAAGTTATCTTTATAATGGAGCGTTTTATAGGAAGGGCAGTGGGGTTTCTGGCTGTTTGCCCCCCTACATACATTTTATTATTCGCGGGTTTTTCTTTAATATTTTTCTGTCTGTTTGGTTAGGGTTAGGGGGTTAGGGGTGGCTAGTTGGCTGTTAAAAAGTTACTGATGGAACGAGATTCAAACATTGATTTTCAATTTTCTCCCAGTATTATCTCTGTGACTTGATTATATTTGGGTATCTCCAAGTTCCTTCAGTAATGCATCCCAGTGAATCCTACATATGGGCCACCCATGCTTACCCCGCCAGAGCTCAGGTTCAAGTACGGGCTCAGATTGGTTACCTCTCCACAATCCACAGTGCATCCTGTTTCAGATTGAGTCACTTTTAACCTGGGAATGCCAGTTCTCGGACCGGTAGTTGATTAGTTACCTACTAGATGGCTAGCTCAGGGACGTGCGTTTCCAAGCTTAGTTACGTTGGTCTATGCTTCTCGCGTGGCAAAACACACTGTCCCGGCTGGTTGGAATAGGGGATGGATGTTGTGCTTGTATTACTGCATTATCTTGACTCTGGGTTAATACGCTGCACGCACGACGACATGCGGGGTACAGATGTGGGTTTTGTTTTTCGAAAAAGGAATTCGTTTGGGTAGGTTAGGCGATGCGGGGGGGTGGGGGGAGTGGGGGAGGAGGGGAAGTATAGGTGCCTGTAAGGTCTTGGGAGTACGTACGTGCAGAGTGGATTTTGATGTGGTTTTGATCATTGCCGGTCCAACTGAGCAAGGGTTGATGTGGTTTTATGGAAAAAGGATTGGCAATATACCTAGAACCCGACCCCCGCGGAAGAATCTTATGACAATAGTCGGTGTTTTTCGGAAAAAAGAATATACGCACACTGAAGAGGCACATACCAGTACATGTAGGTACTTCATACTAGCAATACCGGGGGCGACGTTTGCATTATTCCTTTATAACCCTGGTCTCCGTGGTAAATAGTGTACGTATGTGATGTGCTAGGCCTAAAATGTCGTCCAATCGAAGGGTGCCCTAAGGAAATATGTGGGGGAGCAGTGATCCCTCATGTCATATCGGGGTTAAAGTCGATCTTCCTCTATGAAGACGAGTATGTACGCGTTCTTTGGGAGTGTTATGGAAATAGATAGAGGCGAAGCTCTGTAGAGCTCATAGATACCTACCAATCTACCACCGTACTTCGTAAGGGCCATGTGGCCTTAGTATGATACGGACTCTCTACATGTGTCTATCTTCATAGTCTTCAATATGGTTGCCAGGCAGAACCTGGGAAATCTTCTTCGCCGTAATAAAATACAAAGCCTGCCTTGGGTCCTAGCTCCGCCGCTCCTATGATATAAGCTGGGTCTGCGTTCTCATAATAAAGATTACCATAGCCTGTGTCGTGTCGAGATAGGGAGCGCCCCATTGTGCCTTAAATACCACGAGTGACACCCCATGATTCCTTACTGGCGACCCACCTAACAAGCTTTCTGCCCCACGGCTGAAATAATCCCTGCTGGTCTGAAAGATGCTCTTCGCCATCTGCGTGCTTACTGTCTGGTCCACAGAAGCCACATAACCGGCCTTGCAGATAGGCAGATAATATACCCGCAGCCGCAGACGCAGCCGTAACCGATTTATTTTTTCTTTTGTACCCACTAAAGTGACAGTTTTCGATGGATGTGATGCATAGTAACACATGGTGCGAAACGACCTCAACGACCCGTGATAACATTAACCTTCACAGTCCAACCTACACGAGCTACATGTACTTTAATATTCTCGGATCGTGGCCAACCTCTAAGAGCTGTTCAAATGGCTCTCAGAACCCCATCATGCAACCGTGGCAGTCCATTCTGTCAGGGTTTGTTATTTGGCTCAATGGAAGAGTTCCAGAATGCGGTCAGTAGTAAGTTCGCGCAACGGGTTTACCGGTCTGGAGAGTAAGGGGCCTGTCTAACTTGGGTTTGACTTCAGCTGACATTATTTAGGTATCGGGTTTTCTTATTTGTGGGCACAAAGATACCAAAATATTGCGTTTAAGCCTATCCATACCTGTTTTGGATCACTGGCTACTGCTACAACCTAGAAACAAGAGGTCAACACGCCGTCCTACCAGCGAGAAAACGAGAATAGTTCCGAGTTCTTGCAATAGTTGAGCTTCAAGTTCTTTGGATTAGGATTCAACATGTACAGTCAACATTAAACACCCAGTTGTCGAGAATCAATAGCTATAGTTCAATTTATTCAACTCTTCGACCGTGATATTAAATTTGTGAGGGTCAAGGCAGTCACGGTTGGTTACGAATGGTGGGCTGTGTCGTTCGGAACCATGTATGTGTTATTGCACATCACGTCTCCCGAAATCTGTGTTTCCCGATTTTTCTTTTTCAAAGATAGAAACAGAAGGTCGCTTGAAGGAGCGCAGTGCATCAGTTATGCAGGGGTGCCGGGTCCGGGAGAATCGAACCATAGCTAGCAAGTAATATATGCCCGCCCATGTAAGAAAAAGGGACATCTCCTCCCTTGGCCCGCAATAGTTCGCTACAGCTTCTACCACTGTATCACAACTATTGATCGCCAGCAGAGAAAAAAAAAAGAAAGAAAAAAAGCGAAGGGTGCAAAATGACACAATTAAACGCAAAACCAAAGGCCGAGGAATCAGCACCACTCCATGTACTGATCATTGGTGCCGGAGTGGTCGGCACCACCCTCGCTCAAGCTCTTCGCAAGGTATGCGTCTCTCCTAACTCCCCGCCTGTCTATTACTGATAGGGTGCTAGTATAATATTCCATTCACAGTGTTCGAGCGCGACATTTCCGCCACTTCCAGAGGGCAAGGCTGGGGAATCACAATCCACTGGGCGCTTCCAAGCCTGGACATATGCCTCCCCACACATATCCGAGAGAAGCTCTCCGATATTCAGGTTGACCCCGAACAGGGGAAGGTGGATCGGGGGAACTTTTTGTTTATAAACTTACAGACAGGGGCAGTGGAAAGTAAGGTGCCGCCGAACAAAAGGTTAAGGATCAAGAGGGAGGGATTGAGAAAGTTGTTGTCTGAGGATATTCCTGTTCAGGTTTGTTTGTGAGATCTGTATGTTCTTGAAGTCAGCAGCTAATATTCGGGACTTCTAGTGGAACAAGAAGCTTGTAAATTTTGAGACCACGGACAACGGTGTGACAGCGTTCTTTGAAGATGGGACTACAGCATCAGGGAGCATCATTATTGGCGCTGAAGGGTCGAGATCTCGAACCCGTGAAATAATTTGCCCAGATATGTATCAGCTGCAGCCTCTCCCAATCCGGAGCAGTGGGCTCGCAGTTCAATTCACGCCTGAACAGGCCGCTCCGCTCCGAGCCTATGATCCGCTCCTATTCCAGGGAATGCATCCAGTGACCGAGGCCTTTCTCTGGTTCTCCAGTGAGTCTCCTCCCCGCGTCTGCTCTTGATGCCGCTGACATGATTGGATAGCGATCGACACACCACAAACCAATGCAACAGGTGGAGATTACTATACCATCCAACTCATCATCTCCTGGCGACCCGCACCCGGCGAGGAAGCACCAAGAAACTCGACAGAGAGACTCGAGAAAATGAAGCAGCAAGCAGCTGAGTTTGCAGAGCCTTTTAGAAGTGCTATAATGGCTGTTCCCGAGGGGACGGAGGTGACCGATGTCAGACTGGCAGATTGGCCATGTCTAGAGTGGGATAATCGGCATGGAAGAGCGACGCTGGTGGGAGATGCCGCACATGCTATGACTATGTGTAAGTAGGTTCCTCTTGTTGGTGCCCACAGTACTAATGGTGAGATTAGACCGCGGAGAGGCTGCGAATCATGGAATTATGGATGCGGCAAAGTTGGTGGGTAAGTTGGTAGAGGTTCATGAGGGAAAGGTGGGGTTGAGAGAAGCAGTGGATGATTACGAGGAAGAAGTTCGGGCGAGAACAAGGCCGGCGGTGTTGTTGAGTAGAAAGGCCTGTATAGATGCCCATGATTGGAAAACAGCGATGGGGGGAGAGTCCCCATTGTTGGCAAGAAGAGCGGTGTCATTGACGAAGGATGCCTAGACCTTTCCATCACAAGGGTTAAAGGGATATGTTTTTCTTGGACTTTATGGTATTTTGTCAGTGTCAGCGGGGCTTTTTCCCATATATCTTCAGTGTTCCAGATATACATAGTCTATCAGCAGTCAGCATGCAGTAGCGGACGGCCAAATATTAAGTTGTGAAACATATAAAGTGAATCGAGGGAAGTGCTTCTAGATAAAGATATACACGTTCTTACTACCAGTGCATATATAATCCTTATCAATGCTCTCGCTTTTCTAATGGTTTATTGATTGAAAGACTTGGGCCCCTCTCTACTTTCTTGGGCCTTGGCCTAAATGACTTAAAAGTGCGGGAAGAGTGAGCAAAAAGAGACACCTAGCTTTCGAATCCTAAAAGCCTCAACCTGTCAGAAAAGTATAACTTACCCATTATTTGCCAGTGTCAGGAGCCTCTTTTTCGCGGAGAACAACTATCAGTAAGAAACATCTTTCTAAACATAGTTCTTGTGGCTATATGTATCTTAACCCCTTATCAATCAAGCTACTGTAATGTATGCGGGAAAAACTCCAAGTTTGGTCGTATTCATGCCTGCGGTTGTCGTTTTGAAATTCTCTCACATTTGTGGAAAGCTAGAGGACAGAGCGAAATAAAAATATATCCTTTATAGCCAAATGAATGGTGTAGATGTTTGTCAGTGAATTCTGGCCAGGATATAGGCTACTATAGATATATAACTTTTATACATTGTTGCTCGTAGGGCTTAGGGATGTAGTGATCATGGTTTATCACTCGATTATCTGTGTAGTGTCTTGGTGCACGAGGTAGTGATTTTTGCCGTTTTGAGGTTGAACACCATGTCATGGGAGGATGGATAGGGGGTGAGATAAAATACTAGCTAATTCAGGCTTACGCTGGACTATTCGATTAACCTGGTGATCATAAGGCATGAACCGCAATTAAGAGAGCTAACTAGACCTCTACATAACCGTGATCGAGGGCCTGATCCTCGGAGGCTCATAATTAATTATTTCCTGATCTTGGCTCAACCACGGAAGGAAAATATCTCCGTTTTGTGTCTGTATTCAATTGATCAAGGCCAAAAGTCGAGGTACATACATACATCTAATAAGTATATAATTATAATCTGCATATGCAATGTGCTTTATGATCTTCTGATTGGTTCATTGAGAGATGTTTTTGTTTCACTTGAAACATGTTGTGTTGGATATTAGCATAGGGTATTGTGCTGAGTGGTGTTGGAGTGTTAATAGGGTTTCTACTGGTTCTGGGAATCGATAGTGGTTCGATTTTAGCGGTTTGGTAGCTGTTAAAGGGATATACCTGTAGTTTTAACTGGAGAAATTGTCTGACTTATCCGTTGATATATGGGGATAATATATCAGAAAAGTCACATATTGACCAGATCAGATCTAGATATAGTGATGGACTTTGCCTGCCAGGCAAATAGACAAATAAGCCACAAAGCGGCTTGCCTGTATATTTGACTGATTGATATACATATAGTACCGGCCGAAGGCCGGAAACTACTCGTACATACTATACATGTATTTTCAGAAATCCGTTGTAATTGTATGTATACATAAACCGAGGGATATACCTACATGTAATGCCAATGATAAGCAGGCCACATTCTTGGCAGCAACCCAGGCTGCAAACGCTCGGACCTTCTAAACAAACAAGCTTCGTGCTCACCATCGCCTAACTCCAAGCTCACCAAAAACACCCACAACCTCACTTCACCACAAGCATAGAGATAGCAAGAGTTTCCCACCAAAGTCCCCTAGTAATGGCGCCCACAGATGGCCAAATAGCCGAGTCAGATGCCCTTAAAGCCAAAGGGAACGCAGCTTTCGGCAAACAGTACATCCACCCAACCAGCCCCCACTACTACACCCTCCCCAGCTAACCATCCGGCACAAATAGAGAGTTCACGGCCGCCCATAGCTTCTATACAAATGCTATCGCACTGAACCCCGCCTCGCCAACGCTCTATTCGAACCGTGCTGCAGCACTCCTCTCAATGAACAAGTTAAACCTGGCCCTAAACGACGCAAACATGGCTATTAAGCTGAATCCAAACTGGGCAAAGGCATACCGTCGTAGAGCGAGTGTCTTGGATGCGATGAAGCGGTGGGAAGAGGCAAAAGAGACTTATAAGAAGGCTCTTGAGGTTGGCTTAGAGGAGGCAAAGGGACCGCAGGAGAAGGAGGCGGTCGAGGGGGAGATATTGAAGTTTGTTAGAGGTGGGTTCTGGGACATGGAGGGAGACGCAGGGGGTATGAAGTGAAGGGCTAATGGGAGTAGCGATTGATGAGAAAATAGCGGGTGCGCCGCAGGCGCCATCCTCGCCGAAGTCTGTCATCAAGGAGGAGAACAACGTCGGCCATATAGTCATGAAGGAGTTCGAGCGACGTATTGCAAACGGGGAGCCCGTGGGCCAATGGCCGCCAAATGGATCATGTCTGCGTCGAATCTGGGTTGCGTATGTCACTCCTCGCTTTCCAAAGTCTCCTCCACGCAGCCACTAACACCTCACAGAGAAATGCAATTCCAAAACGCCCTCAACAGTCTACACCAGTTCTATGAAGGGCCAATCCCCGGTGCTCCTCCAGGCACCCGTGGCATCTTTGGTAAGGTTCAAACTATCGAAGAACTTACCACCTCCATTCTTGAAGATGATCGCGTTGCCCGCTTCGACAATACTTGCCTCCAAAAGCTGCGCCTCTGCTTCGCGCTCGAGCAGCAGCAACGAAATGCCATCGGGCCCGGCCTTTCCCCTAAGGAAACGATTAGCGCCTACAACTCCCGTCTCACCGCCGCACGTACCCAGGCCAATGGTCTCGCTGATCCCGTTATTGGTGGTTGGAACCAGGTCCGCCCCGCGCTGCAGCTCAGTATCCGTACCTCGCTGATGAATGGATGCATTTTGGGAGCACTAGGCGCGCCGGGGAGCGATGAGCCAGAGTTCAGACGCGCAGTGGATCTGATTGAGGAAGCGAGAAAGATGTGGCCGATGGTCGATGGTGCGATACGAGGGCGAACTCTGGAGGAGACCTTCCTGCGTGGTGTGAAGATCCTGCTGGCACAGGCGCTGATAAAGTCATACCAGCACACCCCGACCTCGCCGTCGGACCAGCAAAAAAAGCTCGATGATATCATGGATATTGCAAACTGGGTGATCGAGAGCTTCATGCGGAACCCACGGCCACCAGAGAGTGAGCGCCGACACGGCTTTATGGGCGATGATGCGTGGTGGAACATCTACTATGCGCACTATGCCACGCCTCTTGCAAAAGCATACACCTTCCGTGGATTTATGTACAGCCATACCGGCCTCCAAATCGATACCGATCGCCAGGAGGAGTACTGTATAAAAGCCGCACACGAGTACATCACAGCCGCATCATGGATGAGCGCTGACGAGCCCGAGCGCGGGAATGCTATTTGGAATGGCATTTTCACCATGTGTTCCAGCGAGGCATACTACCGCAAGGAAGACCTTCGCGTACTCGCAGATATGGCGAGAGGTGTTGGAAAATGGTGCGATGGTTACTTTCTGGAGCTTGAGGGTGCCCCTGAACATCTCGGGACTACAGCTCTTCGTGATGTACTCATGAGTGACTGGTACCCTGACGAGGACGAGAATGCGCCGTGCATGGTCGGTATGATGAGAGATATATGGAAAGAGAGGGTTGAGAAGTATGGAGAAAAAGAGGAAGCAGTGGGGAGCGCTGCGATCTGGGAGGCTGTCGATGAGCGATTGAGGACGCAACTGCTGGAGAAGATGGGATGGAATAATTAGATTTTTTGATATATTTGGAGAGGTTTGCTGACTTTTTTAACGGCGTCTTTTTGGAATACCCCTTTTCCTTTCTTTTTCCTTTTGGGTCTTAGTCTTGAGCTGGCAGAGGTTGAGATAGATTATTACATGTATTTCTATACGCATATCACTGCTTATAAAGTTTCATCAAATATATGTACTGCCCTCGATCTATTAGTGTAATAAGGCTTACCTACACTACTTCTGCAGCAGATTCATTAAATATCTAGTACATATATATTTCTGTATTGCAGGGGAGGACTGACAGCTTGAATTGCATCTGGGGCTCGAGTCTGACCTTTTTAGAACAAGGTTCGACAAACATCGCCTATTTTGAGGGTGTGGTAGAGTTTGTGGACCGATCTTACAAGCCGTAATATCGATCTCCCTCAGTTGATTACGTTGGGTCTGCAGTGCCTGCTACATGGGGGGCTAGCCTATGGATAGCTAACTTACTGGGAGTAGAGCTGGGCGTAGTCGTGGTTTGTGTGTCCAAGATTCGGGCTGGATACATGTACATATATACGTTCATTGGATCGGCTTTTAGATACGTATACACAACTCCAGCATAACGTTCAGGTTTTGTGCCAGTGGATGGAACCATTCAAGAAAGGGGTTAATGCGAATCACATTCTATCACTCGAGCCTTGGCAAGTTTCTTACCCTAGTAAATGTGACTACGGTAGATGTAATCTAAACGCTAATGTGAATTTTGTAAATACTGGCATATCCAATGGCAGAATCGCTGACAAATTCATGAGACAAAAGTCCCCAAATAACTCCTTCTCTGACAAATGAATGACACGAACAAACGGAACCCGGTATATACTTCTTAGGCAAACGTCGCCTCCACACTACTGTACGTCTTCCCCTTGAACTCGAAAGCGAATACCAATGCATTCTGTATCTTCATAGAGAGATTGAACTGGATATGGTAATATGGCTGCCCATTCTCTGCAATCCTCTTATCGAACAGCTCTCGTGGCACAACGTTGAGGTTGGTTTTAAGTTTACACACAGTAAACACGTCTACATTGCAGGGAATTAGCAATTCAAAAGGCAAAGAAGATGGGGTTGGAGTGGGAGTCGTAAGAGAAAGGGGTATTACGAGGATTTTTGGCATTTTTGGGAAAATTGCCCATTTCACAGGCGAGAAGTGTGTTTTCCACGAAAAGGTTGTGTTCCATGCCGAGGGTAAAGTAAAAGGGGTAGGTAACCGCTTTCTCTTCTGATATTATATCACCCTGTAGAGTACGATTTAGTTTCTTTCATAAAACTAATAACGGTAGTGGTAATTAATGAATTAAAAAAAAAAAATAACGGTAGTGGTACTCACTTTCTTGATGAACCAGCTGACGCGGTTGTCAATCTTCAGTTCCCCAGTCATAGGATCCACAAAAACGTGTTTGCGCTGACCCTTGGCGCCCGCGGTGCCATTGTGTTTCATTACGCATAGTACCCCATAACTACGTCTAGCAAGCTGATTTTTGACCATCGATACGCCTTCTAAGCCTCTCTGACAGGCCCCACTTGCGACCGCCGACCAGCTGAACTACCGTCAGTTTGTGCCCAATATAGGAAATGAGGGGCTAAACACTCACGCATTGACTGGATTCATCAATGCAATCATTTTAGGATCGCAGACATCACTCTTCAACCTAACCTTCAGATACGCTGACGCACCAAATCCACCCACTAACAATACTGCCGAGACTTTACGCCCACACGCCTCTACACCAGCTACTTGCTGCTGTACGAGTTTAAGAACATCGTTCACGACAGGGTCGAATATTTCTCTCATTTCAGCACGTGAAATAGAGAGAAAGCCATCCTCGACACCTGCGAATTCATCATCTTTGATGCCTGGGACTGGGCAATGATAGATAAGTTGAGATGGATCGTCCGCGAATTTTCGTTTGAGGAACTCCTCGAAGTGTTTCATCATATGAACACGACTACGAGGGCGCTGGTTATTAAATCTGTTGTATATTAGTTTCATTTATTTTGTATTGAGGGGGGGAAAAATTACTGAGTAACTCCAATCCGATTCTTGACCCATGCCTCGAAACGTCGATTGATGTAGGTAGAACCGCACATTCCTCCACTGCCAATGACACATTCTTTAACTTCAAGTTTGGGTTCGAGACGAGTAACTTCGTATGAGATTAGGTCCTAATAATCAGTTATTATATGTTATCTCTTGGAGCTATTTAGAGATTTGCATACTACTGTTCCGCCTCCACAATCTGCAACCACGAACGTATCGGTGACCTAAGAAATTAGTTACTGACATATCACTAAGCAGGTCAGATAGTATATACTTTCAACATGTTTGGCTGTATAGCCTTGAGACTATATACTGCTGCTGCTTCAGGTTCCGATATCAAACGGAGGTTATTCTTCGTCCCTAAACCCACGACCTCCGCTGCATGTAGAGTCTGTGCTTTTGCCGAATCGCTCCATACCTGCAGTAATAATCTATCAATGACCATTCCTCCCAAGTGCATAGTAATTTAAAGTGAAACTTACTGCAGGAACAGTCAGAAAGTACTCAATGGGCGTAATCGCTAGAAGAGCTTTCCCAAAATGACCTTCAAGCACGTCCTCGATGTGAGCTTTCAATTTCGTCAGGAAATCGATCACTAAATGAACCGGTTCTTTTCCTGGGGGAATGAGGGCCTTGGTTTTGGCCAGTAATTCATCTGAAAAGGAATCTTGAGACGGATCAAGGAGGAGCTTGATCCATACTAGCTTCTCAACTTCCAAGGAAACCTCGCAGCCCCATTTGTAACCATCAGGGTAGTATTTTAGCTCGGTCGGTACCTTGTCGGTGGTTGCGTTGTCCTATGCGGAGAATTTAGTGGGGAAATTTAAAAGGGTTCGAGGGAGGTGATGTTCTCACTCCAGATGGCCATTTTTGAATGACATTTATCTCATGAGGAGTCGCAGTATGGGCCTGGAAGTGGCGTTAGAGCTTTTGCAGTCGTATCTGGGGGACCATATTGCATACCCAGGCTACCCCGGAATAGGTGGTGCCAAAATCTATTCCAACCTTCAAAGAATGAGCAATGCCCGACATACTGTATTTGCTAATTAGATATCATACATCATAATAGTGTAGTAGAACTTACGCTTCGAGAGAGATGTTGAACAAGTGTTTTGTTGGTTTCCCAGAGATAAATGGAACGCTGCGAAGATCAAACTAGTGCGGTTTGTAAACTGCTATTATGGGCGAATGCTTGGTTATCAATAATGTACAAGAGCTGACTACATGTAGTCTTCAGGCAGCAGCCAACACACCAAACCAATGGTTACCCACCCGTATATTTCAAAAAAGCAAATGCTCCTATTCAGTAAGTATGCAGCTCAGCCGCTGGAAACAAGAAATGTCCTGCACTGTACAAACACTGGAGCCTGAAATTTGTAAATGCGGGGCACCCACACCTACCCCCCCTAGCTGGTAGCTTATGTACATGTATTTACTGTGGGCTTTATTTACTTTCAATTTGAAACCTCTCTCTATCTACAGAGGATATAGGAAATACTACACTCCTAACACATGTCTGATCAGCCTGCTGTGCACCCTATAACTCGTCCTGGTTTTGTTTCGGCCGTCCTCCGGCGGGTGTCTAACAGTATGCCTACTCGCTCGGACGCGGCGGCTCCGGAATCTATTCCTCCAACAGCACCGGCACCATCGGCAGCTGTTTCGTCCACAACGGCATTAACAGAGACAGCAAATACTAGTTTTGGGCGTATTCAAGGAAACCCTATCAAGGACTACCGCCGCCTAGCCCCCCGCCACCTCGAACCTAGGGCAAAGACTCGTAAAGAACCAGAGAAGCGAGAAGATAGCTCTCGTGAGGAGTCAAACATGGAGGAATCACTACTGGATAGAAAGGATGGTCATATCGAGGTGGACAATGATTATGTGGAGGTGTCTCCCCATAACATAAACAGGGAGGAGAAAGAGCGTTATACTACTGGCGGAAAGCACAAGCCCTCCAGAGATAAGGTATAAATCGACCCCGTTTTCATCCCTGGGGCGGAAAGAAAGTGATACTAATACCAGAGAGAAAAGTCTCTATCGCACCCCCCCACTAGGATGTCATCACGACAACACCCCCGGGAGAGAGTAGCGGTGGACATAACCACCCTCTATAAAGAGCAGAATGCCAAACTCCTTGAAGCCGAAGGTACCATCCTTGAAAAGGACAGGCAGATAAACGCCCTAACAGAAACTATAACCCGTCTGCACCTCCGAGATGGCGGAATCTCTCGAGATGATAAATACTTCGTCACCGAATTCTCTGATATTACAAACTCGATAACAGCATGGACTATGACCTACTTCCAGAAGAGTCAGTGGCAAGAGATCACAGACCTTAACGCGCTGCCAATAGAATTGGTGCAAACGGTGAAGAATGTTGTGTGCGATTCCACGAATGTCTTGCGATCTATAAAGTCGGGGCGGGAAGTTATAAATGCTATAGTGATCAATACTATATACATCTGTTTATTTGGACCCTTTCTTTTTGGCGCGCCTGACGCTGGAAATTCCCTACGTTTCGTAGGGCCTCAACTTCAAGGAAGTGGTGAGTAAGGCATATATAAATAGGCTGCATCAAGGGATTAACAGACGCTATGGTACAGATTTTCAAATTCAACGGTGGCGTGCACTTACTGTCAACCTACTCGCCCAAGGCCCCGGGTATGAGCGCCGATACAATGAGGACATCTTCTCAGTCGCAGCATCTCTCGCCAACTTGTTAGCCCCTCTGGCGCCTGAGGGATCCGACGCGAAACCTAGAAATGCCGATCTTCATAAGATTGTGGGACATGCAGCCGCTTTGTCTGTAGAGGTTCGTTAGATCTAATTAATAGTTGGCAATACCTCCCGTGGAAAAATGCTCACAAACTACCAGATACGCAAGCAATCCGATCAAATCTACCTTTTGCCTATACAGCCCGGAGTGCTGTTCAAATCAGACATCATGGAAGACCTCAATTGCGAGTATGAACTGTACGAACTAGAGGGAAAGGCAATTGTCCAGGTCCCTATATTCCCAGCCATCATGAGAAGATCTTGTCCGCCAGGTGGAGTGCTAGATGAGCCACACAATTTGATGAAGGCAAGGGTCACGACTATGTTCGTCGATAACGAGTAAATAAATAGGGAAGGGCAGTTTTTTGAATAACCAGAATTCGGGATCATATTTTCTTACGTTCTTCGTACATTGGTGATTGGGGACTTTTGCGTCTTGTTAGGAGCAATTTTGGTTTGACTGGTTAGTTACCATGCATATGTAGAATAATTTCTCGGCAAATGGAGCGCCTGAATTTAGCAGGGTGCCTGAAGTTGTGTGTGCGGGCAGATGCCTAAGCGCCCACGAATACACTTGCAAGAGTAAATGCGGTCACAGTGGAGACAGATACATGTATTCAACAAGTGGTCCTGGTCAAAGAATCTCCTCTTGTATCTCCAGAAGTAGGTATGGGCCATGTACAGCCACTCAGCAAAAGTGTTCGTGGTTTGGTTTTGGTGTCACTGCGCGGTGGCGCACCGGTATTAATACTGATGTAACTAAAGTTGAGATTCAAAACAACAAAAAATATATAATATAGTTCGTGACTATGTATAAAAAGAAGATAGGTCATTGATCTTATTCTTCATTAATTTAGGCGCCATTGGTCACTGGAAAAGTCTTCTCCGCCACGGTTACAAAATCGGAGTCACGAACACTTTTGCAGAGTGGCTGTAGATTCAATCTATATAATATCCGTTGACGCCTTCACTATAAATCAATCGGGGCCGCCATTTCATATTTAGCTCATGCTTTATACACAATTCGTGCGGAGCAATGAACGTATGTAATTTGATTCCGTAAAAGTAAATGATATGTAGAGTATCTAATCTTCTAATGATCTTTAGGACTTTCGAAACCTTGAGCATTTGATTGGTCGATAGCGAGAAACCTAACCCTGAATAATAACTGGCTGCACTGGCGTACTAACGAGAGAACTCCCGGGGGTGGGTATGCACTTGAGGTGGAAAGTACTACGATGTAGGTGGGAGGAATTCTCATTTGGAGCCTAGGTACTGTTTTTTCGACCCTACCTATCTATCGTTCAACAACCTCGTACCCATCCCCTACTTATTAACAGCAATGGGAACAAGGGGTTGGGACAAGCCTCCTAAATCCATGTATAGTACGTTATATTCAGGAAAGAAGATGTTAATATTTGTGAGCTATTCCGGTTTAGGAAATGATGTTATATAATGGAGGAGCTAAGGCCTAAGTTTGAAGTCCATTTACGACTTGCCCAAACCACAAGTGGGAAGGAAACCCACGCCCGCCGCGTCCGGTACGATGCCCCCTCCTAATTATGATGAACCTCTTCCTTTAATGAGCTTCGCTCGAAAAATAAAATCTGAATGCACAGAACCGTATCCTATACATGCCTTGGTGTAAAGATTACATTCGTAGGTGCCATCATCGTTGTAAACAGATCTTTTGATCTATTCAACATCTGGACCCAAAGTCAGTTATCCGGGGCGCAGTGGATTATTCCATAAAATTTAGGGTGCACGTACCTTCCAGACATCAACGTTTTCTTCTGCCAGCCTAATATCGAACTTGCGTAACAATTGCGAAGTGACGATTCGGAGTTGCATATTTGCGAGTGGCTTACCAACACATTCATAGGAACCTAAACGGATAGAGTAGGGTTAAACAAAATACAAGGTTATCCGTGAGATGAACATCTTACCGAGCCAGAAAGGAGCATATGCTGATCTCTGTCTTGCAAGCGTCTCTTTATCAGCTTCGTACCATCTCTCTGGTTTAAACTCTTGTGCGTCCGGGAACCATCTTTCGTCTGTAGAGCTGTCAACACTTATATATATCTCAGATTCATCAGATTAAGGAGGTTCACCCATATGAGCAGCCCGAAAACAATATATCGCATTTACTCCTCCAGGGATACTAACACCATCCACCACGATCCCGTCGCTGGGTGTCATCCTCTGCACACCATTCGCTACAGCCGGGCTCATCCTTAATGCCTCCGTTATTGTCGCCTCTAAATGCCTAGTCCCTGGTGTCCCCCCGTTTATTATCTCCTTTGGAACCCTTTCGTCTGGATATGCATCATAGATTGCATCAATATCAGCCCGGAGCTTGCGAAGTTGGTGGGGGTGTGTCCCGAGCAGGGCGAAGATGGCAACCAAAGTGGCAGATGTTGTATCGCTATTGACATATGTAAATGAGGAGGGAACAATTAAAGCGTAGAATGTCAGCCAGGAATTTACCTTGCTGCGACTACTATGAGGCGAGTTTCCCCCATCAGGGACAACTTGTGTTCTCCCACGTTCTGTGGTTCAGCGTCTAGAATATATGAAAAGATATCCCTTTCCTTTGGTGTATACTAAATTTGCACATGATAAGTCGTTGGCTAATTATTCGTGTTATGAATACATGTGTACTTACCGTTTTTCTTTCCCTAACCAAATCGGTACAAAAGTCCAAAAATCTTTGAACATCGCCTCCAGCACCTAGCATGCTTAGGATGGTGAATGAGTAGCTGACTTGCCCTAAAGACGATATCACATATGCGGAATCATGCATCACGGCCCCAAAATCAAACGCGCCGACTCTCTTCTCTGGCTTCATATAATTGAACGGTTTTCCAAAGGCCAAATCGCCCATGATGTCTAGCATGAAATTATTGAACCAGTCGGTGACATTAATAGGACTCCCCGCATTTTTGGAGATGTGAGCCATAAGGGTATCGGTATACTTCAATACCCGTGGGAGGTAGTCCTGCACGGCTGGGAAATATTAGCTTGACACCCTATAGCCATAGAAAGTTGGTGAGAATACCTTTTGTGGTGAAGGCTTTATCCCATACTCTTCTCCGGATCGCATGGGTTTTAGAATTTCGCGTGGATTGAAGGCTGTGCTCCCCATCAGCAAAGTTATACCACGTCCCCTTTTTCGCCTTTGCTAGAGCTTGAAGACCGTCGGCGTGGTTTATCGAAATATCGTTTGGACCTATATACATACCCGATTAATTCGATATCTTCGGCTGGCTATGTCCATCAGGCAGTTGCGGCATCCGGACTTACCTATTCTAACAATATCACCATATTTCTTATGCAATTCAAGCATGACAAGATGGTATTGCCAATTCGTCCTCCAATGAGTGTATGGTATCCAAAGCTTCGTTACTTTCGCCCAAAACGGTCCTGGAAAGTTTCTCAACGGGTGGAACCATATTCTATACACCACCATACTACTCCACATCCCTAACAAAAACGACCCATAAATGGTTGAGGTCAGCTGCACACATGACCAGAATGGAAGTTTGAGATGAAACTGAAAAAGCGATTGAAAGGCAAGCGGAGCGAAGATTGCGACAAGAAAAATTTGTTTTGCGATGAGATCTCTCTCAGAATGGCAGAAATACGTTATGTGAGAAGTAACTGCCGTAGTGAAGGACAGAAGAGAGAGTTGGTAGAGCGGGAGGTCTGCGAGGACCGTGAGGCCTTGGGATAATCGAATCACTATATTGCTGGCCATTCTGAGGTTTATCCTTGTAGTTTAACACATCAGGAAAGCTGGCTGGCCTTCGGGGAATTGCCATTATATATCTCGGGGCGGTGTGGCCCACCCATGTCGTTCATAATAATAATTCAGTGTGTACATGTATCTATTTGCACCTCCCAATTAACCGCCAGCGATCGACGCCACCTCAGAAAGGCATGGATCGGAAATCAGTAAGAACACCGAGGCATTCTGCGGCTCCAGGGTAGTAACCTGCATGTACCCTACGTAACCCTACTTGAGAAGATACATACATAGATCTCCAAAACCACTATAGTAGATTATTTTCGCAGGGGGGTGTTACCTGAGGAAATGCAGATTCGCGGCGTTCCCGAAAGATACACCAATCTCTACGTGTAACTGAAGAGTGCCGAATTATGCTTACATGTGGTATCTACATGATGTATATGTACCTACGCCTACATATAGAGTACCTTTTCGTGGAGGTAATGAAATATATACCTGTGGACAGTACAGACATAAGATACACCTATATCGACAGTACATATAATGTAGGTACATGTACATGTAGATTTAGTGTGTTGGTAAGATACATGTAGCCAGTACAGTACATGTACTGTTAGTAAAATCCGTCTCACGTTCCAAAGAGTACGTATTCATACTACATGTAGTACTATGTAGATTCATGTAGCTACATGTAGTAAGGCGTAAACTGAGTCTAAGTGACATAAGCACCTCATGGCAACCAAAGCTTAAAAATTTCGTTATATGTATGATTACATGTATAGGTACTTCCCGGCAAAAGCTCTGTTACGACTTACATGTTATGTATATTACTCGTACTTTCATGACGTTTGTAAAAGGAACCGTTATTGCATACCATACTAAATTGTGGACTTGGCGCGTATTTGTATGGTATGCAATAGTGGTTCCTTTTACAAATGTCACGAAAATACGAGTACATGTAGGTACATACACCCAACTACATGTACATGTACCTACATGTATTACCGAAAACCCGGCACGGAACTCCTATCTTCACTCATCCAAAAGAAAAATAAGAATCTCACCCCTGCATGCAACACTTGTAAGCGAAAATCGCGTGTTTCCCTTCCGTTCAAAAGCCCGATTGGTCTCGCACCCCAGATATTCAAAACAGTTCCAGTCTCAAAATCTCTCTTCCGATCTTGGGTTGGAACGTCGTGACAGGCCTCCTTGGCGAAACAAGACTTTGCTCTCGTTGATAGGCGCCACTGCACTGAGATATTTGACATGATTGGCTGGTCGCTGGCCAACCTCAACTCGTTGGGAGCCGCCAACAGGGATTAGTAGAAGAGACGAATCTGTAACAGGATGTGTCGTGGCTAGGTTAGCTCTTGTGAGAGCGGTATATCTTTATATAGGAGATCTGTTTCCCTTCGACAACTTGTGCCTTCTTCTTTCTTGTTGCTGGTTTCGTTCTTTGGTTTGGCACATGGAGCATATCCAAAGTGCGCATTTCTTTTCACGACTTTAATTTGAATTCTATTATCTGTCAATCCGGCCGGCGTTGAGCGCCAATTAAATACCTAATATATTTATTCACTTCACACAGACAAACACCTTCCTCCTTACATATACTTGGACATCTTCTGGAATTATTACATCCTTCTCATAGTAACTTCAACGACAACGATAATGATCTCACCGTTCCAGATTTTCATTTTGTTTGGGGTAGTGAACTTCTCTCAGGCTTTACCGGCATATATACCAGTACAGAAGTACTATAACCACTCCTTTTTTCCCTCTAAATAATTCTAACTTTGGTATGTAGTTGCTCCTCGACCCTCCACTCGACACTCACAACATTCACAACTTTCTTGCCCACCCTCTTCCCGTCGATGCCAATACCGCAGAACACATCCATCGCAGCTACGCCGCCCTCGATATCTACATCCACTCTCTCACCTCCATGCAAAAATACAACTCTTGCCCTCTCACCTACTCTATCGACTGCCAGAGGGGTACTTGTAGTAACTACAACTGTAGACCGTCACCACTTCGTGGAGGTTGCACCAGTGACAGTCACTACTATAGAGAAAGTGACGGAGACAAAGTCAGAGATGCAAATGGTGACGGAAACACAGACTCAGAAGGTCACAGAGACAAAGATGGTCACCATAACAGCCAGTGGTGGGATGGAACAAGTTACGGAGACATCGGTGGTTACTGTGACAGAGAGCCGCGCAACAGGGACGGAGGAGGGAGTAGGGAGTACGATAATTCTTCTGCCGCTACCTAGTAGCAGTATTACAGAAGCTGTTACAACCATGACTACGATTGCGATTATCACTACGGACGTAACCTCGGTTGTGACCGCTATTCTCACGCCTACTAGTACCGAAGTTATAGATGTAACTACTACGGAGCAGGCTACAGACATACCCACCACTCAAGTTACTATATCAAGTACAAAAAGCGGCCAAACTACGACCCGAGACACTACATCTCCAGAACTGACGAGCAGCGTACAGCCAGTTCCCATACCAACACCTACCGAAACTAATATTAAACCTACGAGCACTGCTGAGCCTGCACCGGTGATAACAGCAACTCCCGAGCCCACATCAGAAGTTGACAGTGGTTTAAGATCATCCACTCTCCTTCGCATCTCCATAAGCCGCCTCTCCCCTCCCCCAGCACCAGCCTTTGAGACTGTAGCACCAATAGCCACAGAAACACCGATCGTCACAGCACCACCGGTGGCAGCGGGGGATGATGATTCGGAGACACCGTCAAATCTACCGGATTGGGATGATGTGAAGGGCTTTGCAAATACATTCACCGGCGCCTAGTTTGAGAGCTTTGGTGCAAGATTTTCCCCTCATGGACTGAGGCTTTGTATATACTTTCATTTTTGCGTATAATACTACATTGGAATTAATAGAGTAGGCCTTGATGGGGCCCCCACGCCATGGGCCAATGCGCGGGTTACGATTTAAAGTTATAGGAAGTGGGAGCCTCTCACTAGGAGGAGGCTAGCGTTAGAGGCAAAATCTTCTATTCTTTTCTTGGTTTTAATACGGGAATTGTCGAACTTTTGTGCTCGAGACAACTAAGTTCAAGCTTTGTACAGATCTATGACAAGGCCATCTGGTACTGACTAATCCATTCTGCGAAATCGCTTGACGTTGGGCTCCGTGATATCTCCCTGGTTTTCACTCGAGTAAAACCTTTTTGTCTGTTGAGGCCGTTAGATCACTAGCTAGAAATCAAAAGTAGAGAAATGGAATCCCATACCACCTGAGTGCCTTGGTATGAAGGTATAGCTAAGGCTTGCGTTTGGGGAGCAATTTCGGGCTTATCTTGATGACGAACCCCTCCAGGATGTCCAGCAACGCGATGTGTAGAGTTACCAGTCGTATAATTGGCCCTAGGTTCCGTATCCTGGCTGAGAGGATGGTAGAGATTTGGAGCCCAGACTAGCGGGGAGCTTAGTAAGTCACTGGTACAAAAAACAGGGAAGAAACTCCCTTCGGTATTAGGGTTGTCCGTACTCGCAAGAGGTTCGTAATATTTGCTGCCAATATCGCTCGACTCGTATACTATTTCACCTGCACCTTTCCCCCCGTCATGCTTGATAACATGAGAGTTCAAACTCATGGCACTGGCGGCTGGTTTCTCGAAGTATCTATTCCCCCCCCCCAAACTCTTCGGGTGAAGGTGCCCAGTTTTAAATCCCGAGAATCCAAGTGGCTCCGCCGGCTTGCTTGTGGGCTTCGAAACAGTGTATGATTCTCCAAGGGAGGGCTCCGTAATATGCCGATCCTTCAAGCCCTGATCATTCAGCTTGCACAAGGACTGAGTCCTGGTAGGGCGTTTCCTCGACTCCCCCGGCGGTTCAGGCAGCTCTGATTGTTTGGCCTGCTCGTTGAATGTAAGTGGCCTCAAGAACTGCACCACATCCTCCACGCCTCGGCGAGTATTCCTCCCCTTTTGAAGTAATTTCATCTTATTCAAATGTTCTTATTGAAATTAGTTTCGGGTAGCATCCTGTTCTATGGGGTCGAAACTTACCGGCTGATCGATAATTGAATACAAATCTTGCATAGATGTCTTGCTCAAGAAATTTATAAAGATGTCGCCTTTTCACGAACTTAATAGGGAGCGCCTCTCCAATCCTAGAAATGGGTTAGCACTTACTTCAAAGAGGCTGATAAGTGTAAAATAATGCTTGTGCGGTGCTGAACACATAAAGGGGGATGAAAACGTACTGTATCATATGACTAGAATCTCCCAAATTCGTTTGTTTACTTTCGTGAGCAACTGGGGCTTGGTCATTTAGATCTCCAGAGCCAACAATGCGTATTTTCCGCAATACCACTCTTATCTGACCAGGCTTTGCAATAAGCGGCTCCCGCTTGCTTCTTTCGGTCCTAAGATTCTGCATCATCGCTAGGAGGTCGCTTTCCTCAACATCCGAAGCAGTTTCCCCAGTGGGGACACTTTCAATGCTAGCGTCAGGATCACTCATTGAAAGGGTCTTGACAAAATTCTCCAAGCCAATTTCTTGGAAATACCAAAACCTTTCAATGGCATTTCCATTACCATCACTGGTAATACTGCTATCCATCAACCGCTCTTCCGCCCTGACATGCCACGGAAGATAGACGATTGTTGTAGCTTCTGGAACTAGACACTCGTCTAGATAGGCTTCGGCTAACAGGTGCCATTCAGAAGGATTGTAGGGGTAGTCTTCGGGCCTATTACCTCCTCTCCTGTCCGGATGTACGCGTTGGTCAATTATGATATCTGGCGCAAAAAAATCATCATCAGGTTTGACAACGATGCCAAATCGCATTCCCGTTTGCGAGATAATGTATGATTCACAAAGAGTGGAATCTAAACCGATCTCTGTGCCTAGGGAAGTAACTATACTGCCGGCGGCGCAAACCTCAACCGAAATTTTCTTCAATTTCGGCATTACGAAGGTTGGGGAATGATCGAGAAATGTCGGGGAGCGGGAAGAGTTGCTTTAGAAGTAGAGAAGATTACAGTACAGAGAGTGTTGGAAGTGGTGCGAGTAGTGGGGTGGGTAATGGTACCGGAAGATTCGGGCGTTGGTGCCGCGGACTCAAGCTGGACGTCGAAGATGTTATAGGGCGCGCTAGAACGCCTGCTGTCCGCAATCATATGCCTAGAGTTGGGGAGGTACATGTAAACTACACGTATAGTAATTTCTAGATTAATCGCGAATTGGTCAATGGCAACTTAAGGGCCAGGCTAGATGTCGATGCTACCCGCACAACCTACTAAATACACCGTACATGTGTTCACTTTTGTTTCTTCTACATGGTACATGGCACATACATGTACCTTCATCATTTTGGCATATACACGTTCTTGATTTTTGCCTACTGAGCTCGATTTATTTGTTTATCCTGCATGTATTGCTACTTATGTATGTACCTCTTGAATACGGCATTAATACCACGGTATTCTTTTTGCAATGCTGGCTTGATTCCCTATTACTCACGAAATCCCATAGTCATACAGAACTAATTTCACCCCGCCTTCGGTACCGCACTTCAACCGTAGCTGATCAATGGCCCAGCGGCCAAGGGCAAATTAACTACAACCCCGCTATATATTGAAACTGGGCTTGCGGTTTGTATGTACATGCCAGAATTGAGTCCTAGTGTAAGGGAAGTGTACCTAACACCTGTGTAACACGTATGCATGCTTGCATGATTTAGAGTTGTACAAGATCACGATGATGAGGCTTAAAAGCTTAGCTAGCTCCACGCGCGCGCGGCTCGTTTGGCTGAGTCAGCTGGATCCGGACCCTGGATCCAAAAGAACACCCGTCCCCTATTAGGGCCGGAGCAACATATATTTACATTTACAATATAAGCTTCCCACAACCTCCCCCCCCATATCTCTTATACCCTATCCCCCTCTTTTAATTAATGTCTACCACTCCCTACGATGCTCCTCCACGGGAAGTGGTGGTTCCCACAGTCTCCCCACCGTCCACCACTTTTGAACCCTCATCAATCACGATTCACCCTACTGCAAACGCGTTTGCTGACTCCCATGGACGTACCATATTTCTACGAGGCATCAACGTATCAGGAGATGCGAAATACCCCATGGAAAATCCTCTTGCTGGTACTCCCGAGTTCTACGACGCGAGCACCGTAACTTATGTCGGCAAGCCGTTTTTAAGTGTCGAGCAAGCCAGCGAGTGGTGGATACGCCTTAGAGCTTGGGGGATTGGTATAGTAAGGATGGTTATTACTTGGGAAGCTTTGGAACCTAGAAAGATGTCAGTTAAAGCTTATAGTATTCAATTAAAGCATTCCCGGGGGCTAATTTGAAATTAGGGGAGAATATGACGAGAAATATATTGATTATATATATGCAATTCTAGAAAAAGCACATCAGGCAGGTTTGATGGTGTTTATTGATGGTCATCAGGATGTCTGGTCCCGATATACCGGTGGGTCCGGAGCTCCCATATGGACCTTTCACATGGTCGGCCTGGACCCCAGTACTTTCCCAGCCACATGTGCAGCAGCTCTCGATGTTTCTGGGGCAAGCACATCTCATTCAACCCCCTCTGGTCGTCTATGGCCAACAAATTATTCGAAATTTGGGCCGGCCACCATGTTTACGATATTTTATGCCGGCGAAGTTTACGCCCCAAAAGCGGTATACTCTGGGGATCTACCTGAATTCCAAGGTGAAAATATTGGCTATGTCTTGCGTAGTGCGTATATCAAAGCATATGCACATCTTGCATCCCGCTTGAGTTCGTTGTCTAATGTACTTGGTTATGATCCCATGAACGAGCCGCACCCGGGCTATATTGCGTTACCATCGCTACATCGCCATAATGAGAATACAGAGCTACATTTGGGGCACATGCCTAGCGCGCTTCAATCTATGGCACTTGCGGCGGGCCTCCCAACGCCTGTCGGTTACTTCGAACGGACCTGGCCTCATCCATCAAAACGGGTGAGGGACGACATTCTTAATAAAGAACGGATCTCAGCGTGGCTTCCAGGTAGGAAAGATATTTGGTTAGATGAAGGAGTTTATATTCTACCCACAGATAAAGAAAATGGGAAATTTACATTAGGGCCGAGAGGGGAATCGTATTTTGCAACAAACCCAAATACTGGAAAGAAAGCAGACTTTGAGAAGGACTTCTATGTCCCATTCCTGAGATCCTTTAAGTTGGGTATTGCCCGTGCCCTTCAAGATTCATTGGCCGGACGTTGGATGTTTGTTGAACCTGTCCCAAATCTGGGCCCACCGGCTTGGGCAAAGGGCACGAACCCGCCACCAGGGGAGAAGGTTTGCTACTCGCCACATTGGTATGATATCCGAGTACTTTACGAGAAGGCTTTATGGTACGGAGTGTCTTTTGACACATTATCGCTTGCAGGCGTAAGTATTCCCACCAGATATATCCTGATCCCTATTCCTATTAACAAATTCAGGGCTCCCGCAAACTCTGGAAACACACCTATATTGGCCGCAACGGACTGACAGCCAACTATGCGGATAATTTTCAGCGTTTTATTTCGCACCTAAAAACCTTTCGCCCTGAAAAACCAACACCAATCTTGATAGGCGAAACAGGGATCCCATTTGACATGAACCTCCAGTCCTCCTACATTACTGGCGATATTCACATCCCATTAACACAGCTTGACGCCATATTCCACGGCATGGAGAAATCGCTCCTGAACTGGACTGTCTGGAATCTAACCTTGTCGCACTCCACAACAGCAACACCAGAATCAACGCCTGCTGACAACGAGACCTCCGCTCAAATTCAATCTGGAGATAATTGGAACAGCGAAGATTTTTCTCTCGTCTCACTCCATGCAAATCCTACCGTTGAAGTTCCACTCCACGGTGCCTCAAATAGTCCCCGAGATCTCGAGAAACCCTTAACCCGAGCGGTCTTGTTCGGGGACCTCTATTTGGGTGGTCGACTCCTCCCAGCGCTTCTACGGCCTTATCCTGCAAAAACCGCAGGTATTGTTATTAACTCGGAGTTTTTTCTTGATACTCTCAGCTTTGAACTACGGTTCATTGCTAACCCTCCACTTCCACCACTTCACGAGGCTGGTCTAGAAACAACAACAGAAATTTTTGTTCCGGTATACCACTTCTCAGGACGTGAGTGCATCCTCACTATCTCTGTATCTGGTCTAGGTCCAGAAGAGGAAACGACAATTCATAGGCCACACGCCAGTGGACGAACAAAGAGTGGGATTGAATGGACATGGGACGAAGCGGAACAAGACTTGGCTATAGTCCATGATGAGCGACATGCAGGAAAGGAGGTGAGTGTGACTTTGAGGGCGCTAGTGCCCGGGGAGGTAGCGGTGGAAAAGAAGAATTGGGCAGGCGCGCTCGTGGGCATGTTTGTTTGACAAGGAGTTTCATTTTTCATTTTTTCTATCTTTTATTCTTTTGGATTTAGATTTAGATTGAAGTTTGATTATCATACAAGAAGGTTTGGTTTGGCTATAAGTAGGTGTGCGTGTGTGGTCATGTAATGCTTAGTTTTCTGATGTTTTAATAATTTGAATAGAGTGGATAGAAGCGCATAAGATTGTACGGCTGTGATTATTAGAGTAGAAGTAGAATGAATAAAGAATATTCAAGGTGACATTGTAGATGAATGAAGGGACTTGATATTTGAATCAGATACTATCACTCGGTTTCCGGAATTCGATGAGTGGCTGTTTTGTGTGCTGGAACTCGTGTTACCGCTTGTACCGGTCTCTTATCCATCCTCTACGAGCAGCACTGGGTACGAGCCTACACCTGAGCCTACACCTGAGCCTACATGTATGTACGTACAATCATCTATGTGCGGACCTGTATACATACAAGTTCCATGCACTTCCATGAGCTTAAAGGCTTCAAAAATCCCAGCATCCTTCCCATCCCAATCATAACCACCAACACCGCAATTGTCCCCATGTCTCTAACCATGAACCCACGCTCGATCCGCACTAAGAATTTTTACGATCTCCCTAGGGGTATAGCAGTCCATATTTTTAGCTTTCTCCCCCTGACTGCCCTCCTCGGTGCTCAACTGGTCAGCAAACGTTTCTACGTCCTCACGAGCGGGGAGGAATTTAAACATTGTTTTTTCCTCTCGCCACCATTATCGTCCCTATTACCAAGCACGGAGGTATTTCTTCATCCAGTCTTCGGCAGGCTTAACTTTTCCGCCTACCACTCTCCGAAAGTCATCAGGATTGGGGAGGACCTGGATAGTCTCAGCCTTTACAAAGCAAAGGTCGGCAAGCAGTTTGCAACCTATCCCGCCTTGAAGAATGTAGTTCTTAGGGTACTCTCAGGGGGAATTTGGTCGTTTTCGACAGAAATCAAAGTGGAGAATGATGATGGGGTTACTGTATGGGACGTTATCAATGAGTCTACAACCTTGTATGTTCTTCCCGCTAAGTCTCGGTATGCAGATGTTTCTAATACAGTTCGAACGAAAGCTTCAAGAGTTACACAAAGGTTAGCTTTGCAGACCATTTTGGTCTTGATGTCTGTGAAGAGCGTGGCTACGATCCCAAGGTTCTTATGCAGAACTATGACTTCCTCGACCCTAAGATGTAAGCCCCTTCAAGCCTATCTTCAGGATTCTTTGTAAACTGATACCTGCTTTGTAGGTCCTTCCCTAAAATCTTATTCATTGATCGCAACAGCAAAAATACAATTATTGCAGATTATGAATTCAACAAGTTTGCATCTCTACCACTCATCAAACGCCCGGCAGATTGGGATATTGGTGATAATGATACTGCTGAAAACGGCTACGAAATGAAAGTGCAAGAGGCCTATGAAATTACGTCATGTATAGGTATTGGCGAGGGTGAGGAGTTGGTAAACGCTCAGGAGGTGGAAAAATCCAGAGAGACTGATTTAAAGGACGATGAAAGGAGGGAAGAACTACCCGCCTCCGCATTAAGTACTGCTGGAACCGAGTCTATGGATATAGCTGGTGGGGTTTTGTCTGCCACTGTGAAGGAATCCTTGACCTTGGAAAATATTAGTCAAGATACCCTCGCGCCACAGCGTGAGAAAGAGATGGCCTTGGAATCTCTAGGTGGCGCCTCCATTGAGATTGGCAATAGGGCAACAGTTCTCGAGAGCCTTACCCTCGAAGGCCACAAAACCCAAGACAGTGATTCTTATACAACCGAGGAGTCTACTTGCCAGGTTGCGGGGTCCACGCCGCTGATATACGAAATTGAGTCGGGGGCGATACAGGTTGATCTCACACCCGAAAAGAAAGTTCTATCACCTATTCGGGATGACACGTGTGAGCCTAATATTCTAAATATTACGCCTCCTCAAACTCTTCATACACTAAAACCCGACCTCCCTGAAATTAACATTGACGCTGGCAACGAGGACGATGGCAATCTCGACATCGCATCAGGTAAAACCTGGACTGTTATGGAGGAGGAATCGGACGATTGGGAAGATGCATTTGCTTAGCAAGTTCTGCTTAGAGCAACTATTTTGTATGTAGAATTTAACAAACGTTGCCAATGTCTAAAGGATAAATATACGTATTAATGAAATCTGCTTGATTTCAGTAAAATATTTTGCCCCGTTTATTATCTTGCCACCACTGGAACTATATTATCCACTTGAAAGATTCTATATACTAACGCTTTTCTCGAGATCTGATGAACTCCCAAGTGTTTTCGCAGCTTTAACGGCTACTCCCTCTTTTCCAGGTGCCAATAATATATTTGTTATAGGTATTCCTCACACATTGAGAACAACCCCTTCGTCTACAATTAGATTCTCGGAGACTCTAAGCTCTTTGGCTACGGTCTTTTTAACCCCAGCTGATGCCAAATCGGCTTCGACCTTTCCACGATCCCATGTAGTCTCAGTGAGATGACTCGAGACAAAGCCCTCAACGACTTTGACCTCATCATGGGTTGAAATCCAAGTCCCCACATCTGTGGCTTTGCATATCTCCAAACCTGCTGGGAATCCGCCCGAAATCTCGCCGCCCATAAAACTGTAGATATGCTTAAAAGGATGTAGGAGCAGTGTCAATTGAGGTTTTTTGCCGGGCAAGCGTGAAAACCATGGGCGCAGGGCAGAAATCGGGATGCTATGAGGAGTGAAGAGCGTTGAAATCATCTTCGTTGTTGAAAACGCTTCAGTGAAAAAGTACTTTATTCCGATCGCCGAATGGAGTCCTGGCATTTCCCATGGCCACTTGGCGGGGATAAACTCAAGCTCCAACCACGCCGGACGCTCAGGATTCTGGGTATTTGGAATATCGATACGAACTCTATCACTCTTCTTGAATACGGTCATGCGAGAGGAAGGAAACCATTTCCAGCCTTTAATGATAGAGCTCGCGTCTGGACAGGCGTATAACCGCGTACCCAGATGTGTTGACCAGTCGAATTCCTTTAGTGTCTCCTCGTGGCAATGATCGGACTTGCTTTGAGAGACGATTATGAGATCTGGGGCCGGCGATAACTCAAGAAGAGAGTTTACAGCCGGTTTTACAGTATGTAGCTGGTTGGAAAACCGGGGGTGGAACACAGGGGCATCCGAATGTAGCCATGGGTCTAACAGGATCGAGAAATCGCCCTCTTTGGTTGTTGTACCGGAACTCGGTAGATGGAAAGTTATGAGGAACGTCGCATCAGTGTTGAGGTGCTGAACACTCAGTGACATCTTCTTCTCCGTTTGTACAATTGTGGGGAAAGGAAATGAAAGGAAAGGGGAGGGGGGGTTCAAAGGGTGGTCCGGGCAGCGCAAGATCAATCAAATGGTAGGCGAGCTAGGATTAGACGATTGGACGTATACGCGTAGGGCTCACAACTGTCTCGTTGTTTTAACGTTGAGGCTCTACCAGGCCATGGATGTGTAATATTAATACTCATAGCTACGAGTACTAGTTGGGAGGGTCTATGTACATAGGAGGTGAGAAACGGTACGATAAGGCTATTATGGGAATTGAGTTGGCCAATCCTAAGCCCCATATATAACAAGCCTCATAGTCGAGTACATCGATTGCCAAGAACCACTAACCCATGTTGCATCTACCTTAGCTACATGTACCTGTAGAGTACATGTGAATACTACAGTAGGTACATCATGATACTACACCGTACCGCCACCATCACCATCGCTACCATATTTGATATTAATACGCAGTACATAAGAGAGCCCTTTCATCGCATCTCTGGCCACGTAGCGACATAGGCGGCTGATGGAGAGTGACCCAGCGTGTGCCAAAGTCCGAGGCAGATCGAAGTTTCTGTTACAGAGCGCAATTAATCTAGCAAGCTTAGTGGGGGTCTAGATCAGGATGTTCGCTGCCACTATGGTGCGTATTCATCTAGTGTACATCTATACAGCCTCTCCTTAATACAGGGTTCTCATATGCTGACTTGCGCAGTCTGGTGGGATGGTTTAAGAAATTTGTCGATTGGCGATCGAATCGGCACCACCCCGTTTATTGATTCTTAGCTGGTGGTCACTCTCAGCGCCGAGGACAGCTGCATGATTCCAGCTCCTCAGTAGTCTGGGAATCTTTAACGGTACCGGGAGTTCAATTAACCGAGAAGGATATCTATAGCAATCTTCGTTGACTCATCTGTGTACCTGGAATCGTTATCAGCGCCCAAGATTCGATTTGAGTAATCGGCATATTGAATCGAGTACGGCCATGGGGAATCCGAGAGAAACCACAGAATCTAAAAGTACAGACTCAGGTGTGAGACTCTAATCGAACTCAGGACGGAATACCAGAAATGTTGAAAGAGGGGGTCGACTACATGACTATGATCCCCAACGTACGTAAGGCACCCACTTCAGTTGAACAATCTCATGCAACGCCCAAACTTAACTTTGTGAGATATTCTAAAGGGGCAAATATTACATATTGCGAGCATCAATTGATACAGGGTTTGAGGCATGTCTTTGTCCCTCTTGCAGGTCTTCTAAAGGCCCCAGTACCGGATTTTCCCTCTCCTTTAGGCCAGGCAGAACATACACCTTTAAGGTTGAGGCTACTAAAGGCATACTTCGATGATTCATTAGAGTTGTAGATTAGGCCTTTATTAAATTGGTATTAAAGAAAATTCGAGCATTTCAGTTTTCTTTAGTGAGAGAATGAATCATGGGTTATCACTCGTCATTAAATTGTGGCGAAAACTTGGAAATGGGGGCCGTAGAATTGCATTGGGGTCCTATTGGAAGATCTCTCAAAATTACTGATAGGGGGTCTTTATGCCTGGAAAAACAAAATTGTCACGGGGCTTTTGCTGGATCGAAAATACATGAGGTGTCCCTAGGGGAGGTTAGGAAAGACTTTCCCAGCTTGGAGACTTGACAGCCTCAAAAATAGACAAAAGCGACGGCTATATTATCCAGAAATGACTTACGAGAGCATCAGTGCTCATGACATGCGCAAAAAGACGCTCAGAGTATGAAGGTCCAGGTAACGTGGAGGGCTTCTATCAATGAGTTTTAGAATTCCTGAGCATCGATCAACTCAATTGATCATGATCTCTTGGTCGCCTAAAAAAAAGCTGCTAAGAAGTGAGTATCATAGATACATGTATGTAGGTATTAGCTATAGTTCGGTAAATACTTACATGAACGTCTCGGTCAGACAAGGATTTCCGGGACCCAAATTTTTGACCTGCGCACAAGGCAGTATATTTCGCGGTCAGGAGGCTTTTATAGCTCCATTGGATCAACTACAACCGGACCCGGTTATAAAACACTACGGACCAGCTGAAATCACTGCCGCGACTATGCAGATGCATATGGCCATGGGGGAACGTTTTCCAGAAATCGAATCCCTTAGATTGTGCCTCGCTCCAGTGGCAGGGCCAGCTCAATGGGTTCTATGCGTTGTCATGATACAATTCAAGATAAACGCCCATGCAAGATCTGGGGCGATGGTAGAGCGCTCAATCGTTGCAATAATGTCCAAGAAAAATCTTCTGTGGGAAGTTTGCATGCAATTGATGGTATTTTGATGAACTCAACGGCACGGCAGCCTTGCGATGAGCACGGATGACAGTGTTTGATTTCTGAATTCACTCCATGTTCTGTTGAATGGGAATGGAACTGCCCTCCCTGTTTCAGAAGTAAAGAATTCGCTAAGTGGGTGGCTTCTTTTTTTTTTTTTTTTTCCTTTCTCTCTCTTCCATGAACGTCGTTCCACCTACCCTCCTCACACACAATCGGATTATTGAACCATGCTTTCTTTTCTCTCGTCCGAAGCCTGCGCGCGGGCTAGTCTAGCGAGCGAGTGTGAGTGAGTGGGTCACGTGCTGTGACGTATCACGTTCTCAGAAATCGAGGCTGTGTAAACTGCTGAATGGTATTGTTCTTTGCATGTACCGGGTTCACAAGGCACAATTGAATACATCATTCATGCAAGGTACGGTACATACACCCTTGGGTAACACGAGAAAAATTTTCCTGCTTGGAGCGATTGGGAAGTGGAGTTGGGATGAGATCTACTTAGTCTTTGACCCGCATTGGATACCAGCCAGCTACACATGCTCCTCCTCTGTCTCACCAGATCTTGTTCCTGCATCATCTACCTTCCCATCCATCCAATGCATCAAGATCCATGCGGGGGTTAACAATATTATGGGAAGCCAGAGTCGCCCAACAGGCATCATCGTATGGGCTCCATTGCTAACTTTGGGGCGAGAGTGTTGAGAGCAAAGAAGTACTCAGGATTTATAATGAGTACTTACCGAAGGGGAAGAAGAAGAAAAAAGAAACTCCTCCCCGAAAAAAAAAAAACATTGACAACGGGAACGACTTTGACAATATACTATGGAAAGTCTTGAGAGCTGGATTGGGAGGTCCAGCACTTCGGGCCCCGGGAGTGGATCCCTGCGACGATCTAAGACAGACAGACCTAGCCTCCTTATCGGGCGTGTACGGTGCCACGCATTCGAATAGCCCCGTTCAAGGCCATGAAGGTGTAGTGTGGCATGCACACCACACCATGTCTGGCATATTAATGTATCCAAACATATATGTAGGTACACCGTACAGCCATTACGCCTTAACTACAAAAACGGTCAGGAATATCATATATACGACACAGAATTTTTGAGATCCCCATATATCATCACCCACCGACCACCCAGAAAAACTATCCAGCTCCCTAATAATCAACAATATGGAAAACTATAACTATAACTACCGCAGTTTGTCCAACATTTATCTTGAACAAACCAATCCCTATCCATTGATGGACTTTGATTCAATCCATAGGCGCGCTACAGACGAGCGTTTAGGCGATGTAGGCTACGAATGCCCTCAACCTTCGATATACCAACATCATGAACATCACGATAGCTGCTATAATTACCGGGGTTCTCGTTATAGCCCACGTCAGGAAAATTATCAATCTCCTGTGGTGGAGCTCGAGACATACCCCTGTGGGGAACAAGATTATGGAATATCGAGCTTGCGCTTGGTTGAAGAGAATGGCGTAGATCACTCATCGCCTGTGCAGCAAACGTTTTTGCCAGCTCCTTCTAGCCCTGCAATGCAGCTACCCCAGTCCCCATGGACGCAATAGTAAGCTTTTACAAAACCATTTTTGTGACAGAAGTGCTGCTTTTGATTTTGATTGGTCGGCTTACCTATTTACCCCTGTAGTAGCGAAGATGAATTCAGCCGAAATTTTGAGAATACCCAATACACGGCCTACACAGAATTGCAGCCTGGGAGTGGGATGAACAATAGCCACTATTTCCAGTCCCCGAGAACAGTGGAAGATAATATCACAAATCTTGGATATCAACCCCATTATTCCTCAGATCTAGATGACGTCCCGACCGCGATCCGGTAATACCTTTAATTACTTTTTTTTATTTTTTTTATTTTTTATCTTTTCTAACAAGCAACCATTCACAGCAATACCTCTGGCAAGACCCACAATAATCAAGGGAACAACACTACTGTAATCACCGAGGAGAAAGAAACGCCAATTTTGGAGCTGCCGATCGACCAAAAAAACAAAAGGTACATATTTCTCATCTATTTTTTCACTTTATCAATAGAGACTAATTAAGTTTCTTCTTTCTTTTTACAGTGTCGACGTCAGAAGTACAGGCTTGTCTTCTGCCCCGGGCCGACGATACAGGTGCCCAGTCCGGGGATGTAACTTGCAGTTCAAGAGACGCGCTGAAATGGACCGTCATAAGGAGTCTGTTCATCAGCCATCTCCTGGACATCTATGTCCCATACCGGGATGTAATCGCGGTGTTCCCGATAACGGATTTAGCCGCAAAGACAATCTAAGACAGCATCTCAAGTTGAAGCATGAGGTTAAGTTCCCAAAAGGCAGGAGATCCCGCAGGACGTAATATTCCTGGCAATCAAAAATCATGGGGAAGAGGGCGGGAAACTTGCCGAATCAATACCAGGGAAGTGGATGCATGCGGGTGGATTGTCGAAACAGTGTCAAAAGTAGGGCACACCGTGGCAGTTGTCAAGCCCAGTTACCTATTGCCGAAGCGCACCTCACCATGCTCATTGGCGGTCATCAGCCAATAGGGCGCCGTGCACCAACTATCTTTGCGAGGATTTCCTGGTTCACTATCCCCGGTATTTGGAGCACGAGAAGAAAAACACCCTTGACGGTGACATAATCCGCCTGGCTATTAGCTTATTTTCTTTTTCCTTCATATCGAACAGTGCAAGTTTTGTTTTCTTTGTTTTATTTTAATGATTGGGACGTACCGCCGATAATTCAAGCACTAAAGTTTTATTCAATCCTTAAGTCTCAATTGTATCGTATCATAAATCTGTGCCTATTGCCGAATGAAAGGTGACCCAATATTCATTACTGCTTTGCACTGTTGCAGCCTTGCTGCAGGAAACGTCTCATCTGCAGAGTTAAACATTTGTGCGAAGTGCAATTCCTACGGCCACAGAGATTATCAACCTTCTACTCTGACGTTTTTTGCGGCCCAGTTTCAGTTGACGTGCAGAGCGGGGAACTGCATGCAGAAACCACCATTGGTATAGCTGATCTACCGCCGAGCACACCTAGGAGCGTAAGTTTCGGGGAGGTGAAATTCAGCCGCGCTGGTGCTAGGCAAGGCATAAAATATTTTCGACCGATGATGCCCAGTCCAGATAGCCATTGCATCTGAAGTTCATGCGGGCACTGGTAGTGTCAATCTCAGGCGTTAGATATCCGCTCTTTGTAGATTATTGAGAACCGAGCGCGGGGTATTGCTGCGTTGGAACGATGATAGAAAGGATGATAGGTTGGCCCAGATGGACACGAAACGGAGCCTGCGTAACAGATGTTCAATATGGTTTTGAAAATTTTTTTGGGCCGATTAGTGTAAGACGCTTGGCTCAGGATCAATGGATGAAACAGAGCCTTTGTGATCTTACAAGGCGGTACATGAGGCTGACAATAAACTCATACGGCAAGTAAAACCTGTACAAGTATATGCAGAGAGCGTTTGGACACATTGTCTAAGGAGCGAAATTATGGAACCAACATGTAATTCTTGCAATATATTCTGACGAAAGAACGGAGGAAACGTATAACGTAGATTGCAAACGAAGAAGAAAATAAAATAAAAACAATAAGGGCAACTGAGGTAAAACACACCAAAATGATGCGCGGGAAAATGCTCGGATAGGGATTATAAAGTGAGGAACAACTGTCTGTACGTATGGGATAAGGTAGCTTAGAGCGTGAGGCAGGCGTGAATTGAGGCCAAAGATGGAAATGCAATCACAACAAGAACAACAATATGAATTGCAACACAACCAACGAAAGAGTGAAAAAAAAAAAAAAAAAAAAAGGGCCTGGGGTATGATGGCCAAAGGAGAGGAAGAAAATGTTGAGGAGTAAGTAAACAAGCCTTGCACATCAACCCCATGGCCATATCCAAGCTTCTGGCGCGTAGACCTGTGTTTCGATTTCTCAGACCGATTCCACAAGTCGAGGTCGTAGTTGTCTCTACGTATGTGTATATACGTCAGTTAGTTGTTAGTTGTACCGTTGTCCACAAAGCAAGATTATATATAAAATGAGGGGACGTTCCGTAGACAGAGTTCGAGTTCGCTGTCGTTGAGATTATCGGGTCATCTTGATAGAGGGGTGAATGGATTGAAGTATATATAATTATTCCTAAGGCGAAAGCGCATCCGTATCAATTAAACAGCCCCATACGGGCCGACGGACTTGGATTTAAATGAATTGAGATTGTTCCCTGATAACGTATCTCAAACCTTCTCAAAAATGATCTCAAGAAGTTATCAGTGGCGGGCCCCATAAGGGTTCCGTAGCTATCAACCTATCGTTGGGGTACCCCAGGGCTTTCGATTGGCCAAGGTACATGATCATTACTATCTCTAACGCGCAGGTCGCCACATCTAGCTACTTCTTTACCTATGTTAGTTGTTCTAGACGAAGTATCACAAAGTCAAATTGCTCATTTCCTCACACAACAATATTTCACAATTGATGTAGAAATTGCTGCTTAAAGAACTCAGGCAACATTGCGAACCATGCTCAGGCACCTACCACGTCTCCAGTTAACACCCCATTCATCTAAAAAAAACGTTGATTATGGTGCAAAGATGAAATTGCAAGGTTTGCCTGAGGAGTAACTTGACAGCTTCGCGCGTTTCAGATTATTACGGCAATCCGTCCAACCGGAGTAGATATGTGCCTGACCGATGGATGAGCCGGGGCTATGATCTCGTTTCATATTCTTCTAGAAGCCTGGGGATGTGCCTTCTAGAAATCGGAGAATTAATGACACCGCCAGGCGCATTCGATGGTTGCACACGCGGTGCTTCTAGAGTGGAATGGAAGCCTGCATGGGAATGCACAACGCCCAGTGCGTGCATGCCAATTCGAACGGGCTGCAGAGAGTGGAAGTTGACAACAGTGCCCCGCATTGCCAACAATCCAATGGTATTCTGATACAAACATGAAACCAACACCCCCTGCAGTATCCGAAACCACACGTGGATTCACCCCTTACCCCCTTGTTCCTGATCTGAGCCCGTATGTCAGATAAGCGCCCAGGCCTGAACACCACAACATGGCGAAAAAAAAGGAATCTATTAAGTTGTCAGTACCTGGAATTCAATCTCATAACAGAAAAAACTTCCTTTAGGCAACTCTAGCAAAAACACATGCCATCCTCAAGGAGTACTGATTTCTATAAATCAACGGAGTCTGATTTTTGTGGGGGAATATGCTCAAAAGGCTTTGGCCTTGTTTTCTAAAGCATTCCCAGATTATTGTACGGCCTGTAAATATCCCAGAATCAAAGAAACGTAAGATGAGATATCGCTGATATTTTTGCCGTCACTATCAATATTAAAGACCTTCAAAAAGAAATTGGTGAATCAGAATATGTGGGCACACCACACGTGCACGCCTCAACGTCAAACGCCGAGCAAAGCTCACTAGTTGGGCTCAGTAGAAGTGCTACATGTAGCTATCAGGAAATACTTTATATGCAAGGGGAACTTGAGTGTAGCGAGTAAGATCCTGCAATCTGCCCTATTCAGCTATGTTTGGCCAGGCCATATTTAAAATCTGCTGCCTCAATATCAACAGATACTAGGATACAAACCGATCTAGCTATATAGCCGAGAGATACCCTGGCTCTTGGCAGGTGATGGTGGAGGCTTTCATTGAGGCGTCCTGATATGATCGAATATTGCCGTCGTGAATGCGCTGCTAAATTAATTGCAAACTGGTATTGCTAGTTATGTTTAGGAATTTGTTAGAGTATAATGTCATTGAATGAGGCATGAACAACTGTGAGATCTTGTCAGTATCATCACAAATATTCCTTTAATTTTAGAAGAGAAAAATTAATTAGCTGTGAATGTAGTACTGAAAATAAATATCTAGATAGGGAGCTCACAAGACATGTTTCTCCACACCACAGGGATCCCCCATGAAAGGTACATCAACATATATTCCGAATAAGAGTTGAGGTAACCAGTCGGCAAACGCCACCATTCAAATAAATCTTCGCGGTGATCCATCAATATTATTCCATTAGCCAATGATTCTTGCGAGTTGACACTCGGATGATTCTAAAATAATGGAGATCTTGTGATCACCATGAAGCCTGGATTAGATTCGCCTTGCCAACCGGGCCTCGATCAAGGCCTTTTTACCCGTTTTAAGGCATCGGATTTGGTATTCGTAACAACCTTACACTCAGGAGAATCAGTAAAAGAAATACCGCAACCCTTCAATAGACAACACACCTAGAAAGGTTAGTCAAGGATGAATCGAGGGATTTTTGTCTCGTTGTTCATGGTCTGGAAAAGTATATATTGAGGCTTTTTATCCATCAACTCTGCCACATCTTCAGTTGGTATCGAGCAGCACGAAACGCCAGGCAAAGCTTCTAGGATAGGGATCAATACAAACACCGCGGGAATGTCCTGGCCAACAGTCGCTTTTCCACATCCAGGGGACCGGTGTCTGGAAACGTATACCGGTTCCTTGCACATATACACCCATTGATCACCATCACCGGCCACATCTTGGTCTGACATCTACACTATGTCCCTTTTCAGAGACTTGAATCCATGGTGATAACATGGGGGTGGGGGATACGAAGAGGGGGGGGGGGGGGGGGGGGCAATCCGGGAAACATGCTTCAACTGTACGATTGTTGGTACTAGGGTTGGGTTGAAGGGGGGGAATTCGGAAGAGCCAAGATCCTCGATACCCGAATCGGATTATCTTACTTTTCGAGTCTAACCAAAATACAACCGCAACCACAGAAATCGGATTTTCAATGCCACACACTACCCGGTGTCACAATTCTTGTTTTAATTAGGAAATCTCGTCGGGGAAAAAAAAGAAAGGTGGTGGAGGTTTAGGTAGATTCGGCGATATAAAAACCACAAAAATGCTTTTTTCCCCCTTGCTAATTTAAGTCAATTTTTAGGCCAGACTTGTGGACTCTATCATTGGCATCGGTGTTGTTTTGGAGGAGTCGCCGGTGGTATCCTGGACATGATATGCTAGTAAAGATTGCTCTAGAACACCACCATGGGGGGGGGGGGGGGGTTTCTTTACTTGATCCACGGGATTCGATTCGAGTTAGATTCGAGCTAGATCTATCATCGGAGATCTGGATCCAAGATATTCACCCTCAATGAAAAGGAGATAAGCACGATTCATTCGGTTGGTCACAATTACCTTTCTCGGGGGGTAGAACCAGTAAGCAGGGGAAAGGATTTTCATATAAGAATATCTCACGTCAATCAACGCGCAGATCATGGGGGGACATCAGCCTCCTTACCGGATGGATCTCGACATCAGGGGGGTAGGTGATGAGCCTCTCGGATACTA